AATATAATCTAAGTTTAAATTAAGTCTATTGTCTAATTAATGGCTTGCAACAGGGAGCAGTATGAAAATCACACAACCCAGCACATAGAAACTACACTAAATGACACAAATTTAAATGACAACTCGCAATTACTGACTACCAATATAATAACCGCTCGCATAACTACCCCCACTTAGCGTAGATAAGCAAGCATTTCACTGCCGCTAAATTCTTTTTCCATACATTAATCTCAATCGCGCACTCATAATTACTGTAAGCGCTGAGTTACCGGCCAAAATCATTAATCACTGATGGTAAAATTTTGCACAAAATTTTAAAAACAATAGTCCAAGCTGTTCAGTGCAATTCTAAACTTCTTAACCTATAGGTTATGGATGTGTAATATCATGTGTAGCGTGAAGCGTTGTGTTTTTTAAATCTGTAGTTCATAGTACTTCATGATCACAGTGTACTTTTTGATAAACCGTGTGCAGTGCCCTTTCCAGAGGGTTTTTTTAAAAGAATTCTTTAACGTTACTATTTTCTATCATACTGTTGTTTGTATAATAATTTGAGTAAACATTAATCGATAAACCCGCTCGATTCCCAATAAAAAAAATCACATCTACTCCATCATAGGGGCAGGGATGAGGTTATAAGAGACTTCTGATAGTGGTTTCTCATATTTGCGGTCCATTTTTTTTCCTCTGTACCCTCGAGAGCAATGAGTGTGGTTCTTAACATTGGCGAAATCTATTCTGTCCTCACAAAAGTCTTACCAACACATCGCATACCACTCTCTTTTTCCTTTTTCCTGGAGATGAGTCTGCTACTCTATTTACCAAATCGCTTACATTCATTGGACATGCCTCCAGTTGTGAGAAATTACAGCCGGGGTGGAAAGTGGCCTTCCTCTACGATCACAACACTCTCTCCAAGTACTCATCCTTCTTCCCTTCCTCGTTCTCTTCGTATACTCTTGAAGAGTTTTGGTCCTGTTTGATAAGCTAATGGGGTTGAAACCCCATATGTCAAGAAAGGTCTTATCAATGAGTCCAAACTCCTCGAGCAGATACGTCAAGCCGAGCTTGGGTCACCTGTTATAGTCTTGGGGTGAGAGGCAGTCACCCACATTTACCTTCTGTAGCTGGGTTCGACTTCACATCATGACATACCTCACGAAGGAGAATTTGCCAATGTGTCTCTTGATGTTGTGTGGGACATTATCACGTAGCCCCTAGCTTACAGGTGAGACGGTGGTCAAGATCACGTGTTTTCCACATCCACAAGTGATGGGAGGTTTTTGGTATCCACCACTGTAGCGTAAGCAGACACTGTCCACGAAACATCCTCTTTGTTCAGAGTGTACCATACTGCTCAAGTGGCAATGTGTAAGAAGTCCCAACTGATGCTCTTTTCTCTTGCTGCAATAGGAGTGCTCTCTTAGGAGTGCCCACATCTTACCAGCTAAGCTTAAGACTTGGGGGGCTGTGGAGCTCGGATTCTCAAATTTTTTGATCATGTCTTTCCCTGATTTGCTTGAGTTCTGGATGCAGTGTATCTTCCTGTTGGTACTACTATGGAATCGCTTCTCTTATAGATGTGCAGAAAGCCCAGGAGTCCATACACCAAGTTCTCGAATCATACAAAGTTGTGTTTTAAGTCTTCATGGCAAAGAAGTAAACCGCTTTGCGCTCTCATACTCTAGAGGGTAAGAGATATGTTTTTATTCTTCTCCTTGAAAAGCTAATACAATCATTTTAATGGGAGAGTATTTGATCACCTTCTGCAAACCAAGAGCCACTTTGGTCTACTTCTGTGAGGTGTCTCAGCTACTGTGGTTCGGGTTATTACCCCTCCCCTTTAAAAATCAAAACGAGACCCCTGACTATTAATCCTGGGTTAGTGGCTCCAGACGTGGTGAATCGGGTGCTATTGAAACTCTTACAGGCTTTTGCTACTTTTGCCAACTGCTTCTGTTAAAGTATTGCCCTATATCTGGAACCGAAACGCAATAGTTATAATTTCCCCTCAAGTCAGCCTGCTAATTTATCGTTCCTCTTATCCAATGGAAAATAATTGAACTTTCATCAGTCACTAATAAGTGTTCACTAAATCATTTGGTAATTTTATGCACTGTTCCGCAAGTTTCACTATGCGCACCGTGGCTTAAGTTGCAATCACTAGTTATAAAGAATAAATAATGCCCCTTTTCCTGCGACAGCTGTTGCAAGGATTATCACTCTCAGTGGCTAACAAAAGAATCTTACAAACTTGTATATTTATGAATGCTATGATTAACTTATTACATTGTGTGAATGTGCCACCTTTGTCTTCCAAATGCAGGATTGTGACTTCTTTTTATAATCTAGCTCAATGACACAGTTCGCAGTAAACCACTTAGCATTTGTATCGTTATTAGCTCTTTCAGCAATCATTATCCTGCTAAGTGTTTTACACGGGGTTAACAACGCCACGCTACTAAACTTGATGGATTTTTTTTTGTCTCCTGTAGAACCTTACTACACGCAGTGGAAAAGTATATACTGCAATGGAGGTTTGAAAGCTCATGAAAGCTGTGAAACTCTCGTCTTCCTCTGATATCAACCAGGGGATTCTAAAAAACTGCGTAAGGGTCCGCTTGTAATTTCCTCAGCAACATAGTGATTTTAAAATGGACAGTACAATATAAACCTAAGCAAGTCTGCTTCCAGCAACAAGATCAGATGAAAACAGCTAACAGATAAGACAAGCAAAAGCAGCTGATTAACAACTGCAGGATCAGATCGACCTCGGTGCAGAAAACTGTAAAAAGTTGGGCAGATGTCGTCAAGAAGAACAGCGCCCTATCAGCTTACAGCAAACAAATGTGAAAGAAGAAGCCGTGAGATCATGAATGAGGAAGAAGAAAGATCAAGAAACTTGATTATCTACAACGTTAGGAGAGGAAAGAAGGGGAGCGCGCAGTGGGAAGGACGTAAAACACAAAGATATTCTTCCAGCCTTTATTTAGTTAAATTAGTTTTTCAGATGTGACAATAGACTAAGGAAACGCACACAACCTAAAACAAATGTAGAGTTTAAGACAGTTTATCTTGCACCGGATAGGACAAAGGAGCAGAGAAGGCTACACAGTGGACTAGTCAAACAGATGAAAGAACTAATTTAAAGCAGGACAATAGCAAGCGTTATTTTATCAGAGACAATAAAGTTAATTGTGTTAGCCTTATCTACAAGTACACTGACTTGTTATCAGAATTTATGAAATGTTATATGTTATGTTCATATTCTTTATCTACGTGCTGATATTATATAGTTTGTTTTACATAGTATGTATTTAGTGTAAGTTGTGGCTGTTGATTTCTATAAACCGTTTTCAACAAGTTTTTACAAATGCAGGATTTTGTGTGGAGATTTAGGTAGAATAAAGAACTGTGGCTCAAATTTTATTATATTTAGGTCAAGGCATAATACTATATTTAGGTATTTAGGTCAGCCATGATCCATTGAGCTCGCAGGACTGAAAGTCCTTGTAAAGCAGGTCTGGCTTAAATTGTAAGTAGGTGCAGGTTGTTTCATTTCCAAGGATAGCAACTTTATTTTGTTTTAAATAAATTGTGTATACTGCTCAAAAGCCCCTATGGGTGGCCTTCGGGTCTTTCAATCAATCACACACAACTCTAACGTTATACTGCAACATCATTATTCTAAAGATTTCATGTACAGTGCTTGAACTTCACCTTGTTTTGTCATTTCAGTAAGGTCCTAGCTCTTATAGGGTTCACAACAGGCGTTGTTGTTAACTAATCAGCAGACTATCTGAATGATGTAACGCTAATTTGATTCTAATTCTAATTCAAGTTACTATCCAATTACTCAAGGAAGGAATAATGGGTAAATAATTTACTCAAAAGTAAGCCTGGTTGGCCATGCTGCTGCCCTTCTATTCTTTTTGTTTTACTTATTTATGGCTGATAACTATCTGTTACTCCAATCCTTAACTTCAATTTCGTCTAGTAGTATGGTTACAACTGAAAGGAAAAGAAACAACCCTCTTAAGCTCCTTGCTGAAACTGGAAGACGTGAACAGCCAAGAACCCGAAAACGAAACAAAGGAGAGGATTCGGTTGACAACAAAAATGGCAACCAAATTATCTTGTTCTTTAGTCCCGGCCTAAAAGAAAAACTTATTAAGGATAGGGATCTGATCGTGGCAAAAAAGTATTTGGTGAAAATACCCTCGAAAGTGACCTGTGAAATGATATTCAAAGAGTTTCTCTATCATGAAAATCAAGAAAATTCGATCTACTTCAGTAATGGTGTATCTCAAGATATGATTAGTGGAATCAGGACTTACTTTAATCATAGATTCATCGTTGAACTACTTTACAAGCCAGAACTACCTCAGATCAAGAACTTGGCTGGAAAAACAGTATTCACTGAGATTTATGGTTGCGAACATTTGTTGCGGTTGATGACTTGTATTGGAAAACTCATTTCACCTAATGAGTTTGATGAATGTGGGTTTAATATTCTTCAGATGCATTACCAGAGATTTTTGGAATTCATTGATGTTAACAGAGATACCTACATGCCTGGAGATAATTATTTTCAGGTCGTTCAATGATTAAACCATGGAAACTACAATTAACTGAACCTTTTCTGTTTAAATTATGATACTTATAATTGAGTTGATCGACAAATGCAAATGTACCATAATAAATTATTACCTGAGAACGAATAATTTGGTTAACGGCTAGACATCAAATTGTCGCCTGTATTTAAATATTTCATGTATTCTGAATTTCCGAAAATAAAGGAGTTTGCAGCACAATACAACTGGTAATTATTCGCTTTAAATGTCAGAAGTAGGACTATGAAACTAATTATTCGGTAAAAATGATCATAACCCAAATTAATGAAATAAATATTAATCAGCACGTTTTAGATTTTTCTAAGCAAGCTTTGACAAGCTATCCAGCTCTGCTGAAATGCTCCATTGGTTTTCTAACCCCATATATTCAGCAGCAGTGATGTGGTTGCAAGTTATTAAAACTACAGAAGAGCAGTTGAAGATGAGGTGAAATTACACCTCATCTACTCTGTATGAGTGCTGCTAATCATGTAAAGAACGGTGTAAAGGGGGATCCAGATTGCGAACATGGTGAAACCTTCAATGTCACCAGTATAAAGCAGAGTCTGGTCAGTATAATTACTTTTCTGTATTGGTAGTTATGTGATCCATCATTAGAATAGATATAAGGTACCTTCACATAATTCTATGTGAATAGTGTACATTTGAAGACTGCCAAGATTATTAGATTAGTGATATTTAAATTAGGTAATTGATGAAACCGCGAATCTGATCCGTGAGGCTTGATGCCGACTTGATATGGAATGTGCAATGTGAGCTCAAATTACATATTCCAACTGAAAACAGTTTATTCATATATTGCATCCATGAATTTGAGTAGATCTCATAAATGTAATAAAATTATTGTTAAAATATTACAATGATATAAAATTATTGATTTTATAACAGAACTCAATACAGTAAAACCCCGATTTACCATAAACCCCGATTTACTGCAGCTTTTTCCTTTCTCCCAAACTCTGCGGTAAATCGGGGTATAACTGTATTCAGTTCCGAAAGTAACATATTGACACATTTATTTCAGTTATCTCCCGCCTATCTGCACACCAACAGCACAAGTCATACTTGGGCATTTTCCGCAGTTGCTGAACTTATAGGTATGTCAGATCATTGTTGTATTCGCAAAACGTTGCAACAAATCTTAGTCATAGATATTTTAAAGATCAATAATCTAATTAAACTCGGGGCTTTTTGATACGCAGCAATGTTAGCGACGTATTTCTTGCCAATTTTTCGCGTATTTCGACTAATATATAAGATTCTCATGAATTTATTTTTTATTTCCAAATTCAAATAAATTTTACATCAATCTGTTACAATTACATTGACAAAATACAAAAACGTATCGAGAATATATCTATTTATATTTAAAACTTGACGAAAAAATCCATAATTTCTTCAGTATAACAGAGGTAGATGATGTATAGAAATTAAAACATAACTGATCTTTTAAATTTCCTCGAACAAAACTTTCGACTAGCGGGTTTCTAGTATCTCTACTATAATTCAGAGAATTATTTTTGTCTGTACGACCGCCCACGTGCAAATTAGATGAAAAATAGGAATTTAGGTAACAACCAAAACGTTCCATAGCAACGGTGTTTTAATTCACACATGCACGTTCAAAGATTGTTTTAACGTCATTTTGATCGGTTTTGTGGTAATTACGTTGTGTTTAAAGTGTTTTATATTTAAATCGGCTGTATCTTCGGTTGGGATGGATATTTTTTGATGCGATTAAAACTTTCTTTCAAAGAATACTACTAGCTTCGTCCCTGTGACCACGGGCTTTCTAGTCAATATTATAATTCAAAAGATTCTTTTTGTCTGTCTGTCTGTACGACCGCCCACGTGCAAATCATATGAGAAATAGGAAGTTGTATAGTAACCATAGTAACGAGTATTGTTACACGCACGTGCACGTGCAATGATTGTTTTAACGTCATTTTGATCGGTTTTGTGATAATTACGTTGTGTTTAAATACTATTAGTTTACACATAAATCGGCTGTATGTTCGGTTTGGATAAATATTTCTGTATGTGATTTATTTCAAAGAATACTACTAGCTTCCTCCCTGTTACCATGGCTCACGTTTTTCTCTCTCTTCGCTCTCTCTCTTCCATTACTGCATATTATGTAGCGTTGGTACATGAATCATAATTAGGTAAGCCGCAAGTAATACTATAAGTATAAGCTTATTAGGGGTGGAGGGCACTTGATTGCGGTCTGTTTGGACTTTGGACTGTAGAGAGAGTTCATCGTATGTGCGGAGTTAATAAGGGTTAATTTCTAAAACGATTTAAATACAAATGGAAAGCGGTTCAAGACGGGAGTGATGAGGTGTAATAGTCGTGGTACAGGGTGTACGGACCTTATGATCATGGAATGTGGTGCCTAATAATGACTTAATTATCCACGAGAAAGAACTGATTATGCAATAATATGTTAAGTACTATTGGATACATGAGGGAACTCCGAATAGAATTGCTCACCTAATGGGGGTTTTGACTCATCGGGTAAATACTCCTACCCTTTTTAACTGCGGCAGTGAAATTCCGGCCGAAGGCCGGGTTACGCTAGTATTAATAATAATTTAATATTGTATTTATGTTAGATACAGCCATACTCTGTTGAATACATCCCATCTCGTTCGATCTTGGAAATTATGCAACTGAAGACCGGGTTAGCAATTCTTATTAATTTAATGTAATATAACGCTAAATTATTTTTTTCCGGTTTTTTATTCGAATAAATAAGTTCTGCATGAACCAGTAACGGACCAATTTAAACTGTGACATAATTATTTGTTTAACAAAATTAGATATGCTTCCTCCCTGAAAATCAGCACTGGACATAATATTATCTCAAAATAGGCAATATCAATATAATTAGTTTGATCATTTAATTTAAATTAAATCAAATATCATTTAATTTGGCATATTATTCACTTTATGAATCCAAATCTAATCTTAAACAATAATCTCAGAATGTGTGTCTGTGTGTGCACGTTTAATTTCGGAGCGGATTAATCAAGAAAATGGTTAGAGTTATGGGACTGGTTTTTTCGGTATAGTGCCGAGAAAAAATGATAAAGGTTTTTTAAATCGGTCGGTGGTAAGTGGTTTAATTGATGGTTTTGTACCACAAATGTGACATAAAATGGCTCACGTTTTTCCCTCCTCGCTCTCTCTCCCATTACTACATATTATGTAGCGTTGGTAGTTGGTACATAAGTCATAATTAGGTTAGCCTCGATATTCACTTTCATCTAATACTATAAGCTTATTAGGGGGGGGGGGGGGGAAGCCACTCATTGCGGTCCGTTTGTTTACTTTCATACGACAATGTAATGCATGTTTTCAAATATAATAGGCGGGTGTGGTGCGGAGTAAATAAGGGTTAATTTTTTAAAACGATTTAGATAAAAATGGAAAGCGGTTCAATTGCTCACCTTATGCCGGTTTTGTCTCAGCGGTTAAATACTCCTACCCTTGGCCTTTATAACTGCGGCAGTGAAATCCCGGCCGAAGGCCGGGTTACACTAGTACTATCATAATACGGGTAATACGGGTAATACATAGTAAGATAATACGGGTAATACATACTAGGATAATACGGGTAATACATACAATATACATGTACATTGTACTAGGATATTTATGTGTATGTTGTTAAACAGGTTAGTTCTGAAATACGTGAAATCACCGTTGCGTAATATTGCGACTTAGTCTCCGTCTCATAATTGTACAGATAAATGTACTGTAGGTAAATGAATACTGTATAGTGAGAGCACAGAGCACAGTGCTCTGACTAACTACATCACGGAATACACAGTGCACTATGTTGAATGTACACACAGCAGCACTGTAGAACAGCACCTGACTACACGTGCTAGTGTCACGTGATGTCTCTGTTACTCGCCATGTTAACACACAACACTCAGTATATATATCAGTTTACAAAGAATTACTCCAATTGTGGGCAGTGTTAACACTTGGCACCGCGCCAGGCTCGGTACTCTAAAGAGAGCCGCTCTGTGCATTGTGGTATCACATGACGGAGTATTGTGGACTCTCTTAGATCACGAGATATCGTGCAGGGAGCTCACTCTGGCCACGTGACTGTCATCACGTACACGTGACTGTCTCACTTAATCACCGCTGTAATATCACACCACTCACTTTGCTGGCTGATTATTCCTTTTGTGGCATAAACGATAGGGTGAAGGATGTCAAGTGTGAGTTGTGACTGTATATATATATTGCGAGTGTAAGGAATTATCTACTTTTGATGGGGAGAGAGAAAGAGAGAGAGAGAGAGAAAGAGAGAGAGAAAGAGAGAGAGAGAGAGAGAGAGAGAGAGAGAGAGAGAGAGAGAGAGAGAGAGAGAGAGAGAGAGAGAGAGACCCTGTTAATATATGCAGGAATTAGTTGAATATTCCTTTACATAACATAATATGCAGGAGTTTGCCTCGCATAATTGTGTGCCTGTTGTATTATATTTATGTCTCATGAGACACATTCATATATTGACATAATCTTACACTCAAATAATTGTATTTTGAAGTTATAGGCACAAGACAAATGGGCATTGGGCGGTGCGTCTTTTCCGTACACGATATTATGGCTTCGAAGATCAGACCTTATTTGTATATAAGGCTAGGCGTACACAGGGCGTTTTGAATAGTGCATTGGGAACAGTAAATTTGTACTAGGAATTTACGGATACATTATCTACAGGAGATTCTGTTTGCAACCAGAGGGTATCTACTGTGTGATGTGAACTTTGAACCATTTAAATATGACAGCTGATCGCATTGCGTCAGTAATGAAACTCTCAGTCATTCACTTGATGCTGAGTATTGTCTTTTATTACTCGCTTCGCACTTAGAATCAGTTGAGGTCAGATCAGTTTTCTCAGCCCTCAAACGTATAATTATTAATTAAGTACATACATCTATTGCACTTTTTTTTAATCACCTTATTTCCCTCAATAAACGTAATTTTGAATAATGTAGTGACTTTGTTAAGATAAGACTCTGATATTTTTCACTTAATGTAAGCTTAAATCTTAATATCAACAATATATTTACAAATCATCTCTAAATTCATGAATCTATCTAAATGTGTTTGGGTCGGTTGTTCTCCATCCTTTTGATCTGAGTTCGTCTGTTCTGGAACCAAACTCTGATATTCTCTGACGTCAACCCGAGCACTGCTGCCAAACTTTGTCTCCTCTCAGTCGAGATATAGTTGCAGTCGTCAAACTCCCGTTCTAACACGTCCAGCTGGAATGTAGTGAACTTGGTTCTCCTCCTCTTCTGTTTTGGAGCCTTGCCAAAAGAAGAAGGAGTCTGAGCTGGGGTTCCAGGTGGTGTTAGGATCTGGTTCTGGATAGCAGGAGCAGGAGAGGGTGTTCTCAGGTTCTGCTGATCTGCCTTGTTGGGTAGAGGGAAGTCAGGAGGAAAGAAGAACTGCGGAGGGGAGATAGCACCAGGGGTGGTAGGTGGAGTGGTGGTGTTCAGAGTAGAGGACAACATTGGTACAGGTGTGAGTAGAGGGGTCGGTAAAGCAGGAGTCTCTGGTTGTACTTCTAGCTTAGTTGTTGGTAGCTCCAATCGGTAAGGTTTAGAACGATCAACATTCCTGTATCCAAAGCTCCGTTTAGAGTAAGGGTGAGGGCTTGGTACTGGAGTAAGAGTAGTGGCGTAAGGAACAGTAAGAGGTCTAGAGTTGATGTAAGGAACACCAATAGACTGGAGATTTGTGTAAGGAGGAGGAGAAGTCAGCGATGTAAGGTATGGAGTTCCAAGAACAGGATTTCCTCTGTAATGAGCACAGAGACTAGGCGAAGTTGCCATCTGTATATCGTGATTAGGATTAGATCTTTTGAAGAGCGCATTGAGGTAAACTTCGAAGGAGGAACTCATAATGTATTGTACTTTATTAATTTATAGTAAATTGATGTAGAAGTTGATGACGATAACTGACAATAAAACTTATGAGTCGGCTGAGTTATATATTGGTAACGATCCATCCTGATACATCCTGATTGAGTTCTCGAGTGTCCAATTTGGAGAAGCTAAACCTGCTCTCATGCTGCATAATTTGTAAATACTCCGCTGATTTAGATGGACTCATATCACATGTCCGATATGGGATCCAATCAGCTGTGGCTGATCAAGAGATCACATACCCATCCAATGAGCCATAACTGATCACATAGCTAATGGATCTTGTATCCGACTTACTTACAACCTTGACACCAGCTAAGCGTTGAACTTTGACATCACTGATATCAGATGACAGCCTGCTTAACTCGGACTCGGTTACCGGACTAAATAATTCAATAACCGGGATATCGCTATCCACACATATAATATGAAAACACTGACTTCCACTATTCAATAATCTATTTTAGGGGTCAAATAGTTATAGACCCGCCTTCCTCTATAATCCATAGACTCAAACATCTATATAAGTGTAAACACTCGCTCACTCGGTACAATTATGGTTTACACAAATATAGACACCTCACGAGGTCAATATATATCCCGCTCCGTTTGCGTGCATGGTACCTACTAGTGCCGTGCATGGTACCTACTAGTGCCGTGCATGGTACCTACTAGTGCCGTGCATGGTACCTACTAGTGCCGCTCCGTTTGCGTGCATGGTACCTACTAGTGCCGCTCCGTTTGCGTGCATGGTACCTACTAGTGCCGCTCCGTTTGCGTGCATGGTACCTACTAGTGCCGCTCCGTTTGCGTGCATGGTACCTACTAGTGCCGCTCCGTTTGCGTGCATGGTACCTACTAGTGCCGCTCCGTTTGCGTGCATGGTACCTACTAGTGCCGCTCCGTTTGCGTGCATGGTACCTACTAGTGCCGTGCATGGTACCTACTAGTGCCGTGCATGGTACCTACTAGTGCCGCTCCGTTTGTGTGCATGGTACCTACTAGTGCCGTGTCTATATAATATTGTAACTTACAAAAACTTATTGACTTAATGACTCAGCCTGTACTACATGGAGATTTGTTACTATATATAGAACTATAACTACAAATGCACTGTCAGCAGACGACGCCACCCACAATATAACTATAACTATATATCTAACTATAAATATATAACGCTTAGTCCAGGTAGGTACATGGTACCTACTTGAGGAGCTATTGATCATTAGACACATAGAAATTGCTACCGAATGTATATTATAATATACAACAAACATATGATAAATGTTTAATAAATTACCTAGTTTGAAACTCGCTCAAGCGAATCAGTGTTTTGGTGTAACTTTAACAAGTAAAATAGTTGCATTAATAGTGACTTAGATTCAATAGTGAAAGTTCTAATACAACATATGTTTCCAGTCCTTCAAACAGAATTGGTAAAATATTCTGATACCGTAGGTAAGTCGCATAATCCAGTATTCATTAATAATTTGATTATAATGGATTATTAATAGATAATTTGATAAGAGTTCGAAGAAGACAGATCTTACAGTTTCTCGCCTGATTAGATTACTGATGACCAAACTCAATTTTATTCCATAATCAGAGGAAAGGAACATCGCATAAATTCCTGATTCCTGAGGAAAGTAATTGATTAACTTAGTGAAAGTAAGCAAAAAAACTATATGAAATTATCTTTCCCTCTGACACTTAGGGGTCGATCACATAATACGTAATCAGCCGAGGGGGAGGGGGTTTCCAAATGATTACGCTAGTGTAATTTTGACTCAATAGCTATGTGTAAAACTGATTACGGAGGGGGAGGGGGGTTACAAATTGTCCAAAAAGTGATTACGTGATATGTGAACGACCCTAGGCTTATTGAAGGGTACACATACCATATTCGACACGCACGGAAGTTCAACACACACTAAAGTTCGACTCTGTCGAACTTTGGTGCGCTACTTGGACTATAGTTGGACACGCACTGAAGTTCGACAAGACTGTCGAACCTCAGTTCGCTACCTGAACAGGTCGTACTAAAGTTCGACAAGAGAACTGCGATTGGGAAGATAAGATAAATCTTGTAATTAAGATTAGCTTTAAAAACTCAGTTTCATTCAGTTCTATTTCATTACGTTTAATGACAGACTTTCATTCAACAATTATGAGTCACATATAATAAAGTTTGATAACGTTAATAGAAACTGTACATAATATAACTAATATTTAAAGTCAACAAGCAACCATGGATCCAACACACTTCAAATAATCCGTCCTTTCGAAGTCATCATAAGACAGGATAATGTTGTTCAGCCTCCTGTCGTTGTCCTTCCACTTTTTCTGTTGAGGAGGTGGGGCTGTCATCTTTTGGTCAATCATATTATTTGTATATCTTAAATGGGGGCAGCTGGATCATATTAGCCATAAAACCCAAACTGGTTTTAAATAAGTCAACTTATGGTCTTCTATTCTTCTATTATTGGTTAAGCTTCGTACTTTCGTAGCAAACACTACAATCATTTTACAATTTACGCCAAATACATATAGGGAACCACACTAAAACCATTCTCAACATTTTAAGTCTATCTTAAATGAGGGCAGCTGGGCCAAAAACCCTAGAATAGTTTATTTTCATAGCAACGTACTGTAAGTTTGTAGTACTGTAAGTTGGAATAAATTGTTTTTGATTTATAATTAAATTTTGATCGAACAATTGTCTAATTAAGTTAAATAAGAAGATTTCCGGGATTTTATGTTAATTTAAGACTCGGAGAGCATCTGTAAATTGTAAATGGCATTGTACCTGTAAATGACAGAGCACATGTAAATTGTAAAAGGCGTTATTGAATTGAAATACGCACGCTGTGCCGTGGCCCGTGATCGTGGGTCGAACTGTTAAATTATATACATTGTTGAGTACGCTTATATGGCATGGTATGAGGTCAAAAACAAATATGCTTCTTCTGCAAAGATCTGGGATCTGCCCGGTGCTTTGCGCAGGGTTTGCGCAGGACTTTCACTTTTTCAGGGGGTGCCCCCGCCACCCTGGTTACTCCCTTGATATCTTGATAATTGGCAAATTGCAAGATGGAGACAGGGCCACAAAAACCGAGAAAAACATCCTCTGAGAAGATATTGTGTAGGGTCTACATTAATCAGGTGACGTGAGACGCTCGAAATACATAACAGATTTATGTACGCCAAAAAAGCGCGCATTTGCATGATATAACATGCAGTGGCCGGCGGGGTTCCATACAAATTTATAGTTTGATTCATGGATTATATCGGGGAAAATATATCCGCAAACTGAATTTTCAATGATCTAGCATGTCATCAAGGCGGACGAGGTAGCCAATCAAAATATTAAGCTGACTTCAAAAATCAAACCCAGCCACGTATACATATGTTAGACGTTAGCGATATAATTATAAGGTATTTTTCGTTATCAAGATAACACCACTGATTTGTACATACCTGATACCAAACAAATCTGTCTGAAATAATGGGTTTGCCGACACATCAAGGTCAGCAAGCTTTCAGAGGATTTTGGGTTCCATCAGATGCCTCTTACGGCTGACCATTTCTCCAACCTTAAGGCCACTTTTTACCACCTTTCTTGTTTGTCAAATATGTTTAGTTGTCGACATCATTGGTAACATAAACAGCCTCGATTAATCGGCAATCTTCAACGATGTCCACAACTAAAGATATTTGACAAACAATTAAGGTGGCAAAAACTGACCTTAACGACACGTGGAAAAGTTCGGAGAAGTTGGTCAGCCGTAAAGGACATCTAATGGAACTCAGAAACGTCAAATATCCTTAGGCAGCATCTTGTATCGGCAAACCCATTTTGCAGACGAATTTGTCTGTACTAGATTTCTTTCAGACAATGCGTACGACCCAGACGTCAATGCGACCCAACTGAAAATTGACATTGCTGACATCGAGGGGATGACATGCTTGACATTTTTGGACAACGGCGCTGGAATGTCCCCGCATACTTTGTATAAGATGCTTTCTTTTGGGTTTTGTGACAAGGTAAACTCCAAAAATAAATCAGTCAAATATTTGAAGTGAGTTACATATTTATGCTTTCAGACCAGTAGTTGATCGTTGGTACTGTAACTGCAATTAATGTTTCAGACTAAAGGTATCATTAATGTCGAAAATTCATCAGTAATTTCTTGTTGCAGGACAAATACGCTGTGACTCGCCACAAACCGGTTGGTCACTATGGTAACGGCTTTAAATCTGGCAGTATGAGGCTTGGGAGAGATGCACTCGTGCTGAGCCGACACGGCCACGGCAAAGGTTCCAAATAGTATTCTTTTAAACATTTTAGTTGATTGCCATAAAATCTATTATACAGGATGTAATACCACCGATTCATTGTTTCATTTAATGATCTCACCTGATTGACATTCCTATTTTTAGATAGTATCGTTAGTGTGGGCTTGTTGTCTCAGACGTATCTAGACGCAATCAAGTCAGAGACAATACTAGTACCAACTGTAAGCTGGTCCTACGTAACACACGAGCGTATTGAGTCCCCTGATGCTGAGGCCAGTCTACAGAGTATTATCAGGTACTTTTCTAACTTTTAACTCTACACCAATTTAAGGGTTGTATTTTATCACCATTTTGTTTAGCAGTTTAGAATAAGCTGTCTAAATCCGACCAATTAAAGGGCTTAGTTTAATTACAATTTTGTTTAGAATAAGCTGTTCAACATAAGATGTTTCGTGTCATTTAGTTATATTGTCACCGGGCATAAACATCACAAGGAAAACTGGTCTGGTTTTACTCAGATCGGATAAACTAGTCAGGAGATTTCTATTTTATGTTTTAATCTTTGTAATCACTAAACCTCTCCTTTGATTCTTATTTAAAAGAAAGTATTTTTGAAGTCTGATGGGGTTGAATTGAATTGTGTTTCAGGTTCAGCATTTTCAAAAACGAGGCTGCAATTCTCTCCACTATTGCTACGAAAATAAAAAGTGAGTTTGTCAATAATGAAAAATCAAATACTTCGTTATGAGCTATTTTAGTGAATAATGATGTTCAATCATCATCATCATTCATCAGTCATGAAGGATGTGCTACTTAGGTGAACTTTACTACATAACAATTGATTTAAGGTTACCTGACTCAGAGGCAACATATACTGTGTAAGTGTGGTGGGCGAGGAATGGACCTAATACCGCACTTTTTTGTGCCATCGGCCGTTATTCGTTGCATTATATTTGTGTACTTCAACTCAGTGGCGTAACGTTGCCTGTTGGCGCCCCCTGCCGAAAAAAGCGCCCCCCTGTTGGCCCCCCTCCCCTTTTGGTGCCCCTCCCTAAAATTGAACAAATTAGGTGATTTTAAAGAATACGCCGGTAAAATCTCTAAAAAAGTGTGTATCTAGAGCAAAACGCGCAGTTTTGCTAGTACTTTAGTTAAGTTTTCGAAATTGTCCCACATTCAAACAACGATTTGGCGCCCCCCTAAGACGGCGCCCCCCTGCACAGCGGGGTCAGCAGGGCCTTTCGTTACGCCACTGCTTCAACTTTATATCGCTGTGCACAATGGGATAATATCTACATGCCCATACCTTAGATTCCGGGCCAAACGTGTTTCATGACGTAACATTTTAAAAATCAAAAAGTAGAGTAACTATTTAAATCAGGAAAAAAATATATATAGAACAATTTTTATTTCTAAAAATATTTCTTATTATCATTATCAGATGACAAGTTGATAATGCATTGACCTTTAATACTATCGATATTTGATAAAAACAAAAGAGGGCGAATCTTGGTAAATGAATAATTTGGTATGCTGGATCGTGATCCCTTAATTTATTGGAATTGAGTTACATTAGTCACATTAGTCACATAAGTCGCTTATACACACAATGTGTTGGATCTTATGTTGCAAAGTTATAAAGTTATAATATTGAATACTCTAGTATCTACTTTAAAGGACCAGTTAACTGAAAAAAAAGTTATCCTCATATTTTGACAGATTGTGACAAATAGCAAACTAAGCAACGAGTCGAAATTCCTAAATCTCTAACTGCTCTCTAACGCGTGTAAATAGCGTTTGTATTATTTTGGCGATGACGTCATAAAGTCCCTCTTGCGCGCAGAGTAGCTCGTGAGACTGTATTTTACAGGTAAAAAATGGACATAATACAATCTTTTCCCCCGAATAACTCGAAAAGTAAGTAATTTAGGGTACATGTTGCTTCATAAGTTGTATATAAACATGGCCATTCTGCACAATTTGCACACATTCAAAAACCTATAGGGCCTTCATAGCCCAATTAACCAGATACCCATAGTTTTGCATGATTTCTGGAACCGAAAATCAGTTTTTCGCCAATAACTGAAAAAGTAAGCACTTTAAGGCATATGTTTGTTCGTAAGTCATATATTAATATGCTAATTGCGGTTCTTTTGCATCCTGTCTGAAGACTCCATCACGATCATATCGAAAATGGGCTTAGCACCACGCCCAAAATGGTTTTTGGCGAATTTATCGAAAAGTAAGGATTTTAGGCCATGTGTTGCTCAATAACTCCTATATAAACATGCATATGCGGCTTCGTTCAAGCCTATTTTGAAGTCTCTACGACCTTCAGAAGCAAGGGGTCGGTTACGTTATCGGGTCAATATGGGCGTGGCCCTCCTGGGTTTTCTCCACGGTCAAAAAAATGTCTCCAAACGAAAATCGTTTAATCATAACTTCGGGAAGGTCTGTGCAAAGTTTCGTGAGTATTAGAACATTTGCAGGTTCATTTCCATAAATGTCCATAAATGACTGGACTACACAACTTTAGAGTTAACTTTAGAGAAACTCATAAGTCATTTATCTCAAATTAAGCTGTTAGTGTCCATGATCAACCTCTGGCGACAATGTTTTACGTGAAATGTAAAAATCAGGAGTAATATAAAAAAGGTATTTTTAGATTAAAGTGCTAGCTCATAGTTTTAGAATTGTATAGATTAACGTTGGTCATTTAGCCATCTAACAATCGATCGTGCCGTAATATATGGCCAGAGAATAATAGGGTCTTGGAAATTCTATAGTTGTTCAGTGGGTCGATCGACTGAACACGTTTGCACTTGGTATTTAAACTTACCAGTAGTTTATTTATGTTATGCACCGATGATAATGCAATTAGGATAACAACTAGGTAAGCCGGGAGTCTAATTCAAAACACACCTCACACCGTACACACCTCCAATCAGTAATTTTACTATTTGGTAGACCGGGTATTTTGGCGGGAATTCTGTTCCCACGGCACTGTTCTGATAGAAGCTACTTCTACTAATGGTCCCAGAGGAACGGCCGTAAAGTAGCCAGACTTCTTGTCTCCTGTACTGGCAGACACTTGCAGATTAAAGTTAGAAATTTCGCTATGCTATAAATATAATTGCTCTCGGAATTGAACAAACTCCTACTTATCTGTATCCTTTCTAAATTCGTTAGAGTTTCATGGACTGGGGAAAAATAATCGGTACAGTCTCCCTGCTTGTGTAATTAAGCAATGAAAACAATCCAAAATTATCACATATGACATAATTATAAGTTGTAATAGCAGAAATTTTCTAACCGTACATTCACCCGCCACTGTTCAAGAACCTATATCACTGTTTAAAATCATGACGTGAGCACTGTACAACCAATCAGCTATTCCTTTAGTTAGGATGATAGCCAAAACTATAAGGATTTTGGAGAACTAGGGTAATAGTCATAATTCTAAAATTTGAGTGAGTTACACGTGTTTTATTGACGATGATAAACATTTGTAATGTAAATTACGCTATGCAAGCGCGCACTGAGGGACTTTATGACGTCACGAGGCCACAGCTTATTATTGCAATAACACGCGTTACACGTACGCTAGAGAGTTGGTTCTTTCGGCGATACGATTCTTTACCAGTTTGTCACAGCTGATTTAAATCTTAGCCAAATTGGAGACTACAAATTTTTCAGTTAACTGGTCCTTTAATTATACTCATCACTAGCTCACCTAGCCTCAGCCATTCTGCACATCTCATTGTTAAACATTCTATGAGAATAATTCTAGGTTTATACTAGGTTTATACAATATACATCGTGAGATACTGCGTAAGACACTGCGTAAGTTAATTAATAATTAATAGTCGTGATAAACAAAACTATCGTGTAAGGCAACGTTATATACTACGTTAATGAATAATCCAACCTGAGAGTACTTCAAGGCTACCAATTTGGCGAATTGTTCAGCTCAATTGCGGTGTTTTTTGTCTCAAATTTGCCGCACATAAAAACGTTTTGGGAAAGTATGGAATCGCATTAAAATACACCTACATGCTGCCTCTATCAGTTGTCACATGTTTATTACAATTTATCAAAACAACAGCAATTATTGACATATCTTTCAGAGACAGGAACGTACATATTGAGCAATTACTGACATATCTTTCAGAGACAGGAACGTACATATTGAGCAATTACTGACATATCTTTCAGAGACAGGAACGTACATATTGAGCAATTACTGACATATCCTTCAGAGACAGGAACGTTCATATTGAGCAATTACTGACATATCTTTCAGAGACAGGAACGTACATATTGAGCAATTACTGACATATCTTTCAGAGACAGGAACGTACATATTGAGCAATTACTGACATATCTTTCAGAGACAGGAACGTACATATTGAGCAATTACTGACATATCTTTCAGAAACAGGAACGTACATATTGAGCAATTACTGACATATCTTTCAGAAACAGGAACGTACATATTGAGCAATTACTGACATATCTTTCAGAGACAGGAACGTACATATTGAGCAATTACTGACATATCTTTCAGAAACAGGAACGTACATATTGAGCAATTACTGACATATCTTTCAGAAACAGGAACGTACATATTAAGCAATTACTGACATATCTTTCAGAGACAGGAACGTACATATTGAGCAATTACTGACATATCTTTCAGAGACAGGAACGTACATATTGAGCAATTACTGACATATCTTTCAGGGACAGGAACGTACATATTGAGCAATTACTGAGATATCTTTCAGAGACAAGAACGTACATATTGAGCAATTACTGACATATATTTCAGAGACAGGAACGTACATATTGAGCAATTACTGACATATCTTTCAGAGACAGGAACGTACATATTGAGCAATTACTGACATATCTTTCAGAGACAGGAACATACATATTGAGCAATTACTGACATATATTTCAGAGACAGGAACGTACATATTGAGCAATTACTGACATATCTTTCAGAGACAGGAACGTACATATTGAGAAATTACTGACATATCTTTCAGAGACAGGAACGTACATATTGATCTACAACCTGCGAAAGAGTGCCACCGGAGAGCATGAGTTTGACTTCAAGAAGGATGCAACAGATATTTGCATTGTGGAGGACGAAACAACAACAGATAACATGCTGTACGCACCCCAGGATAGGATCAACACTAACCCTACTACGTATTACTCACTTCGGGTACGTTTCTTCCTTGATTTAATCTTGCTTCTTTGTGTGTTCTATATTTCCTTTCTTTCATAATACTACTCTGATTTAACTATTAACGTTTCAAACTTTCAGGCATACTGTTCAATCCTGTTCCTCCGACCAAAGATGCAAATATTCGTGCGGAGCGTAAAAGTTAAAACTAAACTCATCAAGAAGTCACTCTCTAAACCTAGGGATACCTATAGGGAAAGCTCAAGGAGTAGACAGGGACTCAGAAAAATAGTGTTTGTTCAGTCTGAGACCGAGAATTATGGGATCATGATGTTACTACAGGAACAGACTTATTAAGAAGTTATGTCAAGAGTCGGATATCAACTAAGGGTGGGTGCTTGTTGTGATTTTTCATAGGATATTAAACATTACAATGCTGAATATCTTACCGCAAGTGTACATGAAGCTGTATTCTCGTTATTCAGCAAAAACTAGCATGGGAGCCGGTGTAGTCGGGATTATTGATGTACTAGAGACCTTACCACAATCAAACAACCCCCATTGTGGTGTGTGTGTATGTGGTGTGTGTGCATTTACCGCTAACCATGTTCGTTTAGTGACAGAAACTCACTGATTACTGGTATGACTTTTGTCGTATTATAAACAAATATGCATCAGCTGTAATGAACTGGTCCCAGAAATATATTGAGACTGCAAACTTTAAATCTGGGGCGCCTTTTGCGTATTAATAACGAAGAGAAAAATAACGCGTTGTGTTTATACAGAACGAGAAGTGTGGTGACAGGAAATGCCCCGGAAAAGGTTTCAGACTGTCCAGTCCAAACTGTGGTTCAGTGACGAGAACTCTGATGTTTGAAGTGGGAGGAAAGTTCATGGTAACCGTACAACCCCTCAAGATGACCTTTTCCATGAAAAGGTGCGTTCTAGTATAGTTGCCTCTAGTATATGTGCTCTAGTACTTAGTCTAGTGTTCTAGTAGAATACTCTACTCAGAATATTTGGATAATGTTTATTTTTACATTTACGTAGAGTTTCCCTTACTCAGATGACCTTCCTGAAAAGGTTCGTTCTGTATAATGCTATTTGGAAAGGGGTATTTTTACATTTACGTAGAGTTAAATATGATTGAGCGTTTTTCTTCTTTTTAAAATCATTAAAACATGAAAACTATTGTCTGGGGTATTGTAATGATAACTCGGATCCCAAACTATGCGAGCTGTGATTCTCCAATGGAGCAGGAGGAGATGGACAGGGATTCTGAAAAACCTTATTGTCTAAACTTTAAACGAAGTTGAGTAATTAATAATTTCACATAACAATTATTATTAAGAATCAATATTTTCACAGTTTACAATATAATCTTGAAGAGTTGCTGATCATTTTTGGCAAGATATTTTGTTGTTGTTTGACTTTGCAGTAAGGAGGGCGCAGAATCACAGAGAGTAGCAGACTTGATCATGGAGAGACAAAGACAAGCTAAGGATCATGGAACAAGCGCAAACGAAATCAGAATCAGATTTACGGGTGGTCCCGTTTCATGTTAGTTTTATTTGCTCTATTATTTTCCCAATTATGTCAACTAGAAATAAGGTTTTGAACCTGAAACAACCGCTTATACTTTGCCATATCACAGATCGTTTTAAAGCCTCATGTGATGTTCAAATTGCGAGTTTGTCATGAGCTGTTCACGTAGGTTTGTAGGATGCAACGTATCCCGAACGGACCCACAAAATGGGCTAACGGGACAGCATTTATCAGTTGATGATGACGAGATTAGGATTCTACCCTCCTCCCCCGCTGCTCGAACTTTCAACTCTAACCAACCCTTCACTTCGCAGGTATTCATATGTCAAAATCAGTTTTATATCGTGAAAAACTGTTTGCATTACGATCCAATTTTGCTCTATAATAATAGTAACCTAATTTTATATACGTTCTTTCGATGTTCAACACCGTCCAAATATTCCCCCGACAGTAAATTTTATTTACTGTTTAGTTGTGTCACAAAACGCGGCAGCTGTAGCCATGAAACAACGCAAACCTAATAACGATGACGATGAGCTCGTTGTAACAGCTGTAACACAAGGTAAACACAGAGAGACACATTTAGTTTAGCAGTATCGACCAGTAGCGAATGACCGTGTATCAGCCCCCCCCCCCCCCCCCCCCCATATCAGGTTTTACCTCCTACTTTAACACATTCTTCTCCCCACAGCGAGAACACCCCTCACGAAACGACCCGCCCCCCAAACCCCAGTCAACCTGTCTAACAAGAAAAACAAAACAGCCAGCGCCCATCTGTTTATCGTAGACGGTCCCAACACGATAAAAGAAATGGGGCTGACCAGCCCTGAGGACCAACAGATAGTTACTAAACTTGTGAAACTACACCCTAAAACCAGATGGAATCTCTTAGTTAGCAGAACTCTGCAGCTTAGGGACTTGCGAAGTCAGGTTAGTTAGCAGAACTCTGCAGCTTAGGGACTTGCGAAGTCAGGTAACTAGAATCTCTTAGTTAGCAGAACTCTGCAGCTTAGGGACTTGCGAAGTCAGGTTAGTTAGCAGAACTCTGCAGCTTAGGGACTTGCGAAGTCAGGTAACTAGAATCTCTTAGTTAGCAGAACTCTGCAGCTTAGGGACTTGCGAAGTCAGGTTAGTTAGCAGAACTCTGCAGCTTAGGGACTTGCGAAGTCAGGTAACTAGAATCTCTTAGTTAGCAGAACTCTGCAGCTTAGGGACTTGCGAAGTCAGGTTAGTTAGCAGAACTCTGCAGCTTAGGGACTTGCGAAGTCAGGTAACTAGAATCTCTTAGTTAGCAGAACTCTGCAGCTTAGGGACTTGCGAAGTCAGGTAACTGCAACTAACTAACTTTGTATAAATTTAGATTATTTGCTGTATTTGAGTAATTGCTAAGAGTATTCATTATTGACGTTTGTTGTTTGAGGTTTCAGTTTGAACCATTTCACAGTTCATACCATTGTCTAAATCATTGTTGCAGCTATTCGGTCCCTTTCATCGACTATTTGTTATTTTCAGGTTTGTGCTTTACTCCAAATGCTGGTTCCAGAGCTTGATCAGAATGCTGTAGGCGTCAAAACGGAGCCAGTGGACGGAACTAAACTCGTCTCACTCCTAAACCAGGTTTTAGAAGCTAACCAAGCCGGCGACGACGGATCCTCGTCCCAACTCACGACCTCATCAGAGCAACCAGTCAATTCACAAACTGCAAATTCCTCTAGTTCATCAACCGTTAAAACAGAAATTTTTAATCCATCCAGTTATAGGGGCGCCATTTGATTAAGGCCGAATGTTTTTGTGGCTATTATCATATGATAGATTGAAGTGCCTTTTTTAATCAAATTTAAATTATTTTATATATTGGAGCCGTAATCGTAACTTCGTTACTACGTTGTGAAGCACCCTTACTCTGCCATTTAAAAAAAGAGTAACATTAAATTCGTATTTGGAAGATTATTTGTATTGAGAAAATGGTGTTTTAAAAATTAGTTGACGCACTTGAAATAGTCATGTTGTTTTCAGATAGCTATCTTGATCAGCAGATTCAAGTAAGAATTTACGTTGATATTATAATTCATAATTAGCTTTTATATTGATCAGGATCTGTCCACTAAGTTTTCAACCAATTTTATCAAATAAATAAATCATGTACTATTAAGTTTTAGAGTAGGTTTTCGTTAGTTGTTTCCTGAGTCATGAGTAAACATCAGTATTTGTATCAATCGCATTTGTATCAATCGCATTTTTACATATTTTGGTTGTATGTATAAAATTTTGATTGTGATGACACTAGTATTAATATGATGGCATTCAAATAAAAGTTATATTTAACGATAGTCCTAGTTAATAATCTCATATTTTATCGATTCACTCTATTTATTTATACCGTTACACTGTCAACTGTAGACGTAACTATGACAAGAATTTTCTTTGTACTTGATTTCCTTATTTGTTATTATCTTTGTGCGCGCTTACACAGTTCGCTGGCCTATTAGTATTGCTCACTCCTCTCATGGATACTGATAGTTACAGTCTGAGAGGGAAGAGAAATGAGAAACGAATGCGCGCAGAGGGCAAAGTCTGTGCTATGATATCGTGGTACACCCCAGTTTCTATGCGCGGCGCTCTTTTCAAGCTGTTTGCATACTGCATACTTACTTGCTACTACACGTTGTATATCTCTCTCGTGCGCGCGATATGCAAAAGGGGTTGCAGCGTGTGTCAACTGCATAATACGTAGTGAGAGTTGACGGTGTTACCGCTCGCCCAAATTTTAAGAAAATTCCTGTGAAAAGGCCCTGATGGTATGAAAGTAATCTAATTCAACTCGGTGTATTTTTAGACTGTAGACGCTGATTCTTTCAATCCCAGAAAACTTTACATTACTGGCTGGGGTCTAACTTTGAAAAGTAAAAGAGGCAAAGACTTTCGGTTTTTTGCAAAATGGTTGCCTTGTAAAAATTTGTCATACGTTGTATGACCCAACGCGCACGAGTGCGCGGCTCCCCACTGTATCGTTGAAACTCTACACTATTGACTAAATTGTGAAACGCGACAGTATACTAGGGGGTCACGACGTGATACAAGTACAAATAGCGTTACCTCCTCAGGCCAGGAGGAAAATTGGGGACATTGTAGATTTTGAGTTATCCCAAAAAGTTTTATTTTGGGCTTAATAATAGTGCGCAGCTTTAACTTTGCTGATTCTTGTCCTCTGATTGGCTGAATTGTATCACGTGCAGTGCAGTTGCATTTTTGGAATGCATTTATGCGACATGCGTGCAATAAACTTATGAGCGCGCGCGAGCTTGAACAAGCTTTGATTCACGATGTCAATCCTTCGCATCTCGCCGATCTGCATAAGAGAAGCATTATCTGCGAGAAGCATTATTGGATGCGCGCGCGCGACCCAGTAGTGCATCGCGCTACAAGAACAAGCTGTGAAGACGCGATCATCTGTAGTAATACTCCCATGCAGCCAGTAAGGTTTTTTGGGATCTTCATTGTTCATGAATTGTAGCGCGATGCGTTACTGGTTACTGGGCCGCGCCGCGCACTCAATAATGCTTCTCGCAACCGTTAGATCGGCGAAATGCGCTACTCACAATGAGACTCAAGTGCAAAAAACTTTTAAAGCAAAAATTGCCAAAAAATGTGCCAACATGCGACCTTACGCCATTATTGTTAAGCTGTATAGATCAAATTTAATCGATACAATTCTCGTGTATCGTCAGTAATAAAAATCTGATGTATTGATAAATTCTTTGAAGATGATTTATCTTGAAAAACAAACAGAATTGTAAGTACGAAGGAGTATACTGCTCAGGTATACTCTTCGTCGTCCGGTCTACTTAGTAGTCATGTCATGACTACATCATCGTCATGTCTACTTCGTCTTTATTGTGCATAACTATGTAACATGCTAATAGAAAAGGTCATTCAAACAATATATACATTCAATTAAATCAAGTGATGCGATTCAGTTAAACAAAAATTCAATTTTATGCCATTTATTACAGAGTAAACAAGTTCACAATAAATCAATTTGATATTTAAAGGAATCCTAATTCAATGTGTAGTATGGTTGTCACTCTTTAAATAGATTAGATATAGGTTGACGGGGCAAAGGAGTGTGCGTGCTGTTCGCTATTGCTCACACCAAACGGCAACCTAGTAAATGTTTTGTATGGACACCGGTCTCCATCACGATACAAAATTAGGATTGTAGAATTTATTGTATAACTTTTAGTGCAGTGGAGGGAGCGGTGTGGTGCATTAATAGAGTGACAGCCTACTGATTTAGAGTTGTTTTTAGATTGGCAGAGCACAATCAAATCAAGATCACAATACAGCACTGAGCACATAGGTAACGGAAATGGTCCATTGCAATATGGACCAACATTTTTGAACTTCAAACAATTAAATATATACACACAATTTTTCAAAACACATGGCCTATTCTATCATAGGGGCAGGGATGAGGTTGTATGAGACTTCTGATAGAGGGGTCTCATGTTTGTTGTCCATCTTCTTTACTCTGTACCCTTGTAGCGTAGAGCAATAAGATCAGAGTTGTTCTCAACATTGCAAATCTTATCCTCGTCCTCACATACCTTACCACATCACAATATCGCTCCTTCATCTTTCTGGCTAGATCCGCTAGTCTGTTGACAAACTGTTAACACTGCTTAGACATTCCCGCGGATGTGAGAAATACAGCCCCACATCCAGAAAGTTTTATATTTCCTCCCAGATGCGTTTTTTCTAAATTCTGTGGCCCGCTCGCTTCGCTCGCAAGTTTGGGGAGGGGACTGTCGGCGAGCGAAGCAAGTCGACGTGTCCAATCCAGCTGCGCAGCGAGCGAAGCGAGCAAGCTGTGGCAGGGGTCTCGGGGCGCAGCCCCCCGGAAATTTTTTGCGAAATAGTGTGTTTTAGACGGCATTTGGCATTAAAGAAATTTGTAGGACAGCAATAAACTGGGATTGAAAAGAATCAAGTACTCACGTAAATTTGATAACTTCACAACAGCAATCTGCATTCTCCAATCAGAATATTTCACTGTGTTCCAAAACTGACAGGATGTTCCTCTTTGATTTTTATACAATCGAAACATTTTCTTCAAAAATTTCCTCAATTAATTTGTCTTCATTCCAAAAAAATATTTCGAAATTTAGGAGTTACTTCTCAAAAATTTCCTCTTTTTCTCCCGTTTTTCCTCCCAAAAAAAAATTTCCTCCCAGGCTGCCTGGCAAGATGGCGTGTTTCTGGATGTGGGAATACAGCCAGGGTGACACTAACTAACATTTTAATAAAACAGCAGGGTTGAAAACTAGGCAACTAGGTTGAAATTTGTATAATAATTCTAATCACAGATTTGCTCCATAAATTATAAACATATTTCTCGTTTTAGGTTCAGGGAAATGAGATTAAAAGACTTTTCTGCGCTTTGTTTTGACATGGACTTCACTCTTGTGAACTATTCTCTGAACAAATTCCTACCGATGGTGTACGATGTCACAGCCCAGTTTTTGGTTGAGAAAAAAGGGTATCCAAAGACTCTCAAACATCGGGATGAGTCCGATGTAAGTATATTTAACCAGTTTTCAGCATGTATATTGAATATTCTTTTGTACAATGTGACCAAAAATTAATTCCAAATGTTCAACTCTGCAGCAAAGCAGTTTAAAGTTTAAAGTTGTCAGTATAAAGCCTCAACAGTTCTACTTAAAGAGGCGAACATGTACATATTACCAAAGTCCAATCTTATTTTATAATTTCTTTTTATTCAGCTGAAGCTGATTCGCCAGGGACTTATATTGGATAAAACAACACATCATTTCCTGGATATATCATCTACTGGTGAAGTCATTTCAGCTTTTGACGGAAACAACTTTCTTAGCCACAAGAAGGTAAATCAAATCAAATAAAGGTACAAAATCAATTACCAGTCGTACCAAGTCCTTTACAAATTGTATGATTGTTTTTTGATATATCGGCACAAATGTCAGTATGGTCTCCCGGCCGTGTTTGGGGGCCGAAATAGTTCTTAAAGATGTTTTTCATACATTTGTTTCACTCCGCTCCAGTTGCAGTCTGGTAGTGTTAAGCTTCATAACTATTTTCAATTTTTTCCTAACCTTCATATACCATCGTAAATATCTTGGTCTTGTGTAAATGTAATTGTACATCAAACAAAAACTTATCTGAGAGACCCTTGCCTATAACAGGCCTGACATAATGAGTGAATTCTATATTGAAGATATTTTCAAGTATCACAGTACAGCTGGTTGACTATGTAGTAAAGTATTGAACTTAATATATATCAAAACAGCATAATTTCAGATATTGGAGCTCTATCCAGACAGAAGGTGGTCATATTTTGACACGTTTTACAAAGGGTTTGAATGTGATGTAGCTACTGTATCACATGATGAGCTACCTTACTTCTTTTACGACTCTGCGTTTGTATCTCCGGTTATTCCAGTTATGGCCAAACACATGAGGTCTCTTAGCCGCTGTGAATCTGATTTCAGTGAAAAATGCAAAACTTTATACAAAGATACGTTGGAATCTTTTAACTTTAATTTCCATCCAGATAACTTTAAGAGAAATACAGGCTTCTTTTTTCCAGAAATGATGAAAAATACCGATTTGTACATTGACAAAGCCTCCCCAAAATTCAAGAACCGACTTAAAGAACTAAAAGATAATGGTGTAAAACTTGTACTGGTAACAGCATCACATGTTGATTATACTGAGCTCCTCATGGATTATTCATATGGTTCCAATTGGAGGGAGTATTTTGATATTGTCTGTTGTCGAGCCCGCAAGCCAGGTTTCTTCACATCAAGTCCAGTTTCTCGTCCATTCTATCGATGGAACTTTAAAAATGACTCCATAGGCAATGAAACAATGCCAGAGTTAAACTGTAAGGATATATTTTTTGAAGGACATTGGACATGTGTGGACAAGTGGATCAAGTGTAACGCAACAAGACCAGGACGTGTCGCATATGTTGGAGATTCTTTTAAATCAGATATCATTCCCACAAAACTGTTTACTTCTTGGGACCAAATGGCAATTGTTTGGGAGGGTCAGAAATATTTGAGAGAAAAATCTAGTGAAAAGCTTGATCATGTGAATAAAAAGGCCCACCTTGAAGAAAATGAGGAATGGGGAAGTTTCTTTGGAAGTGAGAAACAATTTACTATGACTGCTGGTAAACTGATGGCTCATTCTGATATTGTCTTTAGTAATGTTGAAAGTCTTGCTTCATTAGAAATGGATGAAAATTTTGAAACCGGTTGTTTTTACGATTTTGATCCCTATGAATAAACAGAAAACATTATTCGTTTAAGATTCATCAATATTATCACTAAATCATTTCTGATATACTGTATTTATTATTATTTAGCTTTTTAGGCTTGATAAGCATGTATAGTTTAAATTCAATTTTTTATTGCTTAGATAACTTGTAATATCTGAACTACGGGTATTTGCCTCACAGAATGGCCAAAAAAAAGGAAGGTCTCTCAAAATCACAAAACACACTTTATTCCAGTTTTTATCTCATAAGAAGCTAAGTTGACACTCATATTTTTCTTCCCGGGGGTTGATTTAATCTCATAACCATTTTTTCTTTGAGAAAAATTGGCCGGAAAATCTTCCTCCAAAAAAACATGCCTCACAGAATGGCCAAATCTGAATTTCTATAATTTTTTGATGGAGATACTTTTTAAATTTCTATCACCACACGTTGTTAGAAAACCTATTAAGGAATGGGGTAATAACCTAAAACTCACGAAAAAACTGAGCTGTGAAAAATTATTTCACAAAAAAGAAAAAATGCCTCACAAAATGGCCAAAAAAAAATGAAAACGAGAAAATTTTATTTTTCTAAAACCTTTGGCTCTTGTTTCAGGCATGCTGCTGGTATTAATATGCCTTGTTAACACCCCCATATAGGTGAAATTTCTTAGAAATGAATAAAAAGGGCATAATTTCCTACACCAAAAATGGCCATTTGGTGTGGCGTTGTTCATATTCCCTGATTTCATGATTTATAACCTTCATTCGGCTGTAAAAACACTCCATCTGGGGTGTTATTGTATGATAAATAGCTTGTGAATACTTTAGACTTATTGTTTCATTGAATAAAAGGAGTTTTAAATTTTGGCCATTTTGTGAGGCATATTTTGGCCATTTTTTGAGGCGATTAGCCATTTTAGCATTTTTTTTCTTCCTATATTGAACAATGTTCGTTTTGTTTGATGAATACTATTCTTTAAACATCTTCTGTCATACTGGTGCCAGAAATTCTCACCAAAATGCAAACTTAGTTCAAAAATTTGAAAACAAATTTTGTGAGGCATATTTTGGCCATTTTGTGAGGCGTGTAGCCATTTTAGCATTTTTTTCTTCCTATATTGAACAATGTGCTCAAAATTTCTACATAAACAGTCATATTTATGCCAGAAAATGTGGTCCTAGTTAATGATTTTACCACAGGAAGTGTTGCCAGAAGACTTTTGTTTCATATGGTATCCACAAAACCTACCAGTCTTATATAAAAAATTAGTTACAAAAACATTTACAAATTTGGCCATTCTGTGAGGCTAGCCATTCTGTGAGGCATTTACCCGTACATAATTTTTATATAGATTGCAATTTTTATAATTATATATTGGGGGTTTGTATTCAAAACGCATTATCTACTTGAAAAGATTGCTTGTTTATTTTTTATGTTAATACGATATTATTTAAAGTAAATAGCATGTTATCAGACAATGTTATATCGTCATTAACTCACCATAGCAGTGCATCAGTCATTGAAATTAAGTTGAACCTAAATACAGACAGAGCGAGTCAGGCGAAGTAACAGTAAGTTTTGAGGTTGTTAAAACACTGCCAAATCCACTTTCAGTAATATCATAAATTTAGCATGTGTTAAATACCACAGTTCATTTTAATGTTCTATCTGTTCAGGTCAGTTCAATCTTTTAAAAATAATCAGGCGACTATTTAAGCAGGAAGAATGTAGCCAGACAACGTCCTATAAAGTTGTAAAGCCATGGCAGTCTCAAGAGTCATCACCTCCAAACTACAGTCCCACTTCATACCCTCCTTCTTAGAGGTTATAAACGAGAGTTACATGCACAATGTCCCCAAAGGATCAGAAACTCACTTCAAAGTTCTGATAGTGTCAGAAAAGTTCGAGGGTAAACCCCTGATAAAGAGACACAGAGAAGTTAACAGTTTGCTTGCGGAGGAGTTACAGGGTGGTGTTCATGCGCTGAGCATTGTTGCTAAAACTCCAACTCAGTGGGGTTCTGATCCTAATGTTGTGAAGAGTCCTCCCTGTTTAGGGGGTTCTAAGTTGTGAATCATTTTCAGATTGATCCTTGTTTTTTTAATTTAGAATCGTTTTTGTGTTTTGTTTGGGGTTTCTGTGAAATATTTTATTGAAAACTGTTCCGCTTCACAAAATGAGGAAGCATTATTGGTGGCATTCAGCTGTGAAAGTTAATCGGATCATAAGAATTATGAGCTGTATGATGCATCCTGTACAGCACTAAATCTTTTATATCAAAGGGGAAGACGATTTATATTCATGTTTTTGTCATTTATTTATTACACTTGACTAGTTGTTCGTTAAATTTTTGTTGGCATTCAATTTCGAATTGACTTTGAATAGACCTGTGATGATATAAATTATAAATATTAGACGAAACAATTTTATCATGGATAATAATTTATCATTTCATTTAGTGAATATGGAGAGTGAGACTCCAGATAATATATTCGAGGATATGGAAAACGAAACTCCAGAACAAATATTCGAGGAGGAAATACTGGAGGAGGTCTCTGAGAAAGTTACTGAGAAAGAAGTACCAGTTGAGGCAGTTCAGAATGAGACACCTGACCAAGTTAAGGCAGTAGTAGAGGAAGCTGCAGAGAATGTACCTTCAGATTTTTTGTCTGAAGAAAAGCATGTCGAGCCAGCAGTGCAAATGGCTGGTCAAGAAGACGCTGAGATTGCCGATGAACAAACTGAAATGACTAAGAAAGGAGATGTAGAGGAGGCAGCGACTGATCAAGACGTTTCTCCATCCGAGGCTGAAGTGGAACCAGCAGAACCTGAGAAAGAGCCAGAAGAACAAATTGTCACAGAAGCTATAAAATGTACCGAAGAATCTGAGGATCTAGCTGAAGTTGCTGAGACCGGACATACCATCGAGACAGCAGATGTAGTTGTTCCTGAAGCTGTCCACGAAGCAACAGAACCAGCGGAGTCCCTCAGAACTGACGAGACTTTAGACAAGACCAGCTCAGACGAAGGTTCTGATAAGCCTGCGTCTGATGTGGAGATGACTGAGCTGACAGCTAGTAGTGATGATGGTTCAGTTGGAGAGATGCTAGGAGGGGAGGGTGATGGTGACATGGGTCCTGCCGAACCAGAGCTGATGGAAGTTGAGGAGTGCGTATCTCAAGAAGAGGTAATTAATAGTTGTTTGAATTTCAGTGGTGTTGAGTTTTTAGGTTTGTTGACTTATATAAAGCAAAAGTGGAGTCTTTGATCTTCCAATTTCGTAATATCAAACAATTTAAACTGCGACTTACCGAACTCTTTGGCCATAAAAGAGATAAACTCTTTCGTCAAAAATCTAACTAAATTATTTTCCACAGGATCTTCAAAACCTGACTACAATCGCCGTCTCAATAAACGGCAACGTGGTACAAGCCGAAGTGATCGAACAAGGAGATGAAGCTGTGATGGAGCCAGGGGAGGAGGCGGATGAAGAGGAGGAGCAGGCCACGGTGGAGGAGAACCAACACGACGAAACGGATATTGTAACGGAGATGCCGGAGACCACGACAGTGCCTCCCCATCCTCGACCTCAGGTGTTCGCTGAGATTATTGAAGAAGAAATCATTGAGGAGGAAACTGTTGAGGTAGGTTTTGTTTGAATTGTTTGTGCACATTTGACATGTCAAGTGTCAATACATATTTTCAAGATGTATCTATTGTTAACTTTGTTCTGTAAGTTCTCTATTGTATTTTATTAATCAACCATTTTTGCATTCATATACCGTAGTATATACATTAGTTGTACATATTTTATAGTAATATTTTTCCAGAATTAGCTCAGTCACAACACACATAAGTCAACACCACCACTCCACCAACACCCACACCAGGTGCTAAACAACAAGCCCTCCTCACAAGAGCCACCCCTCCACTACAAACACCTATCACCCTACTACACCACGGCCGGCTCTAACCACATGCACCAGCACTGTAACCCCGGGTTTCGTGCTGACAGTGGTTATCCGGGTCAGCCAGTACCTCAGCACTCACTCCGCCCTCCACTTCTTCACCACAACTACCACCCACAATACCCCCAGCAGCAACATATTTACTCACAGTCTGGGGGCCATGTTTATTCCGAACATTTTTCTTATTCTCACGATGATCAGCGTAATTGTAATAATGTTGGCCGATGGTTGTTTGAGAAACCCAAAGAAAATGCAAATGTGAGTTAGTTTAGATTTTTTGAGATTCACGCTAAATTCAAGCTACCAACAATGTTCATTTTCATTCATGCGTTTTCACCATTTCATTCACATAGTTTACTTTGAGGTGCTACCGTCGCGTAGGATACACTAGACAGTTCATATCTAATCTCCGGAGGGGTGCTCAGTGAAACCTCTAGAAGTAATGAAATACAAAGATCACAGAACCCTTATATTCTACAGATGATAAACAACCGCGAAGAGAAGCAAAGACACCAGTCCGACGACATTATTACCTCTCTGGACGCACCAGCCCCTCACTCCACCACGTCTAGGTACCAGCTTAGTGTTTATTTGCTCTTCAGAAGTTCACACCTTTTGAAAGTCCTAGAAATGTTGCTAACGTTTGTGCACATCCCTTTTCAGCTGCGCATATTATGATTATATTGTGTCTAAATATTTAGAATATTCCCCGCTGGATTACAACTCACAACACCGTCACTCTTGCCCTCTTGGTTCTTGCCCTTTTTCACTCATAAGCAGTTTTAAAATTCCGTGTATTCAGGAGGCTACAAGCTCGAGAAGATGCAGCTAAACGGAAGGACGAGTCTATGTTACTTTCCACTAAGAAGATTATCGACAGTACAGATGATGTGCTCCGCTCTGCACAGGCTCTTTTGAAGAGTACTGAGAATAAAGATGGAGTGGAAGAATCAGCTGGAAAACAACCCAGCAGATATCCAGGTAAACCAATTAATTTACCTTCGCTAAAAACCCATTTTGGCCTACCTCTATTCTCGATTCATGAGACACAGGCCAGGAAACTATGTTTGAAAGATTGAATTACTCATAAATTTGTTTTCAGCTGGTGACATTTATCAGCCTCAGCCACGCGAAAAACGACAGAAGAAAAAGAAGTCCAAGGTAAGCTAAATATGGTTGATTGTCTTACTTAGCAAGACTCTTGCTAATTTTACCCGTACGTACACTGCGCGGCGCAATACATGTGAGAAACACCGATGCTTACAACTTTTGCTTAGAAATAAGTGCGCGTTTTCATGCAAAGTAAATATTGTCAGTGACCAATTAAGTTATAGTGGGGGCTTGCGATAGCATGCTTTAATCTTCCCGCGACTGGCATGAAATTGTGTGTTTTTACAAAAAATAACACATCACATCGAATTTTTCAGCCTGATCTCCAAAAAGAAAAGGAGATTGACCCAGATTACGATCCTGAAGACGATTTCGACGACAAAGAGTTCTTGTCTCCTAAAGGTACGGATGTGTGGAAATAATCGATATATACCACTTCAAGACTCATATCTTGATTCTTTGTTGACCCTCAACTCAACAAAACCAATTTTCTCTTTTTTGTCATTATGGGTACATCGATGTCACTGTGATTTCATGAGTTTTGATGTTACAAAGGACCCAATTTTCGTAATAACCGTCTCAATTTTCAAATCTTACCATTTTCAGATCTTGAGTCAGCAGCTTTCGCAAGCAGATTACCTGCCGATCGTATGACGAAACAGGAAGCCATTAGTTTCTCTGAAATTTTCAACGTGAAGGATTCCCAAGCTCACTTTCTTTACATTAGAAACAGACTGGTAAGTTGCTAGTGTTGCTTTTATATTGTCTTTTCAGCTTTCGACGTTATTGGGTCGATCCATAATCCATAATCCATTCCGACAAGACCTTTCTTGATTCGTTCAATTGATACAATCAGAGGCTCATACACATTGAACGCCCGGCCCTCCCACATTATCTGATACATATTCTGTCAGCTGTTTGTCTGGTTGGAAGACCCGAAGAACAAGCTCACTGTTGAAAACGCTCTGCCCAGAATAGAGCCTCCTCACAACGGTTTGAAATTAAGCTATTATATTTGATTAATGAAGACAATTATGGCGAAATATATATATATTACTATTGAAAATCAGTTGATTACTTCGGTTCAATAGCATTGACATATAATCACTGTTATTTGTACTGATGTGTCTTTTTCAGAGGATGAGGAGTTGGTAGAACGTGTTTATGAGTATCTGAACAGATACGGGTTTATAAACTTCGGAGTGTACGCCTCACCCAAACTCCCAGAACCCTCCTCGACCGCTCCTAAAGTTCTTGTTGTCGGTGCTGGTATATCAGGTAATACAGCGTATCAATTTTAGTTGATGACTGTGAGGGGGATGGGGCTATAAACTTTTTTCATCTCCTCCGATTAAGTAAAGCTATAATTACTGCACTGCACGTCAACTAATTACATTTATTTAGGTCTTACAGCTGCAAGACAACTCCAAGAATTCGGAATTAACGTGGATGTTATCGAAGCTCGATCCGTTGTTGGCGGCAGAGTTTGCACCTTCAAAGACGGAAACTACGTTGCAGATCTGGGCGCAATGGTGGTAACAGGCCTCGGAGGGAACCCACTGGCAGTGCTCGCCAAACAGCTGAACCTAGAATTGATGCCAATAAAACAAGATTGTCCGCTGTACGAATTTACAGGACAGATGGTTCCCAAAGAGCGTGATGAGCGGGTTGAGAGGGAGTTTAACAGGCTGTTAGAGGCTACCACATACATGTCACACCAATTAAATGTGAACAGCATCAACGGTAGGCCGGTATCTCTTGGTCAAGCTCTGGAGATTATTATTAAGTTGCAGATTAGGCAGGTGAAGGAAAAGCAGCTGAAGCATGGGCGTGAGAGGTGCGAGATTCAGGAGAAGTTGAACCATATTCAGCAAGCATTGTTCCCTCTTCACGAGAAAATCAAAGACTCTCACTCCAAATACTTGGGTAAGCAGAACAGATCATGAATTGTATTTCATGAAAGGGTTTTAATCATCCACTTATCAAGTTCAGTAGACCAAGTTCTGTTGGCTTTCATTGCCAATCTGTAATCGAAATGATCTAGCTATCCTTAAAGTTTTTAAAACTTTTTTCTCCAGAATTAAAAATGAAGCACGAGGAACTCTCAGACCAACTTGGTGAAGTTATCCGGGACCAAAAGGCCGAGTTTGAAGTCAAAGCAGCCTACAAGGTCATGTTGGAAACATTCGCTGAATACGACGCTCTCTTGAAAGAACAACAAGAGCTTGAGGTTCAGTTGACAAAAATGGAGCAGATGGTCCCCAATGAGATTTACATGACCCCCCAGGAGAGACATGTTTTAGATTGGCATTGTGCCAACCTGGAGTTTGCAAATGCGGCCCCTCTCTCGGCACTATCTTTAAAACACTGGGATCAGGACGACGATTTTGAGTTTACTGGAAACCACCTCGTTGTTCATGACGGGTAAGGATTATTGTGTATTAATTTCTGGTAAAATCAGCGATATTTTTTATTTACTTTCTGGAACCTAATAGTAGTATACTATTTTTACTATTTTAAGCGATCTCGTATGCCTAATAATGTAATTACTTTATTTTTCAGGATGTCAACAATAACAGAAGCAATGTCCAAGGGTCTAAACATTCGCCACAATACCGCGTGTGTCGGCATCAAATACACGGACAGTGGAGTTGAAGTAGCGACAAGGGAAGTGAACCAAGTTAACAGCAGCTGGGCAACCAACACCACAAATACCATCACTGCAGATGCTGTGCTGTTGACAATCCCTCTGGGGGTTCTTAAGAAGGAGAAACTGAAGTTCGATCCGCCTCTGCCTGAGTGGAAGACGTCTGCTATCAAGAGGATGGGATTCGGCAACCTCAACAAGGTATTTTCATTTTAGCGCTGTTCTATTTTAGTTTTGCTGTTTTTCATTTTGAGTTCTAAACTAGGTTAAGCTATTTTCTCTTCTAACCTGTATTACGGTAGAAAGATTGACTGCCTTCAAGAGTAATACAGTTTGCAATAAATCAAACCCGTATGTAAAGAGATGATCAATAAATTAAAATCAATGGTACATACAAAATCTTTTCATAGAATTTAAGAAGATCTTTCCCCTTTTATTTTATAACTAAATTTATAACTGTTAATCAATTCATTACCAACGGCAACATTAAAAAAATCTTATTCTACCGGATTACATAAAATGTGAGAATCATCTTTTTTATTTATCCTCGTCATGTTCATCTGAAGAATCGCCCGATCTGGAACTTCTTTCGCCTTTTTTAATTTTAAGTTTCTTTAGCCGACGTTCAAGTTTTTTCACAAGAGTATCTATGTCTGCTTTTTCCTTTACAAGTCGATCAATTTTCGAATTCTTCCACTTTGCATACGTATACATCCACATACCTATGCAAATTGAGGTAAAGAAAGCTACAATAGGGCCATATATACCATCTGGGATGGATTTGCAGGATAAGTAGACGTCCTTATTATGAACACAATTATGAGACGTGGAGTAGTTACAATAATTCCAGTCTCCATAACTGCAATTCACATCGTCCAGAGCTATATTATAGTCTAACTTTTCAAAAGGCCATGATAATCGCCAGCTTTCTGCTCCCGAGTAGCCCATATTCCGGCAAATAGCTGCAGCAGAATTATCACTGAACTGATCACCACAAACTGTGCCTCCATTATAAAGGAGTAGGAACTGTTGATGTCCGGAAACTTGTGATCCAGCAGAGTTTACAAGAGTGAACGGGCTCCGATTTCCCGAACAAGTTAAAAACAAATCTCTAGTGTGATCACTACAAGCTTTCAATTTCATGGTGCTCTTAAGTGAGCATGATGACCAGTCAGTAGTTGAACAAGTTAAACTGTGTGGCAATACACCATAATCCTCTTGAATTTTCCAAATTTTACCATAATGCGAGGAAAAAGCACCTTTAAAACCCATCAGCTTGCAAATGGCATGGGCTGCATTATTCAAATCATTGAAGTTAATTTCGCAGAAGGTCATGTTCTGAAACAGCAAGAGACCTCTTTGACCACTAATGACGGGCTTCCCCAAGTCGTCTATCAATTGTAGCTGTTCTGAAAAGGGCAAATATATAACCTCTCACCTCAAGAACAAAAAGAATACCTTTGATTTTTAACGGTTTTTTACGGTTTTAAGAATGTAGTGAACTTCTAAAAACTCATCACTAATCTATAAAGAAAAAGAACTGTTCTAGATAAATACTTGACTTACTTTTTCCGATTTCATCTTCGGGACAGTATCTGTCTTTGGTATAGGTTGACCAGAGAACGGGCCTGTCCCGATGGAAGGAATTGTAGAGTACGACATTGTTGTCGTCCTGTACCACAAGCTCTATCTCGTCATAATTACCTCTTGTGCCACTGCTCCAAACAGATTTCTTGTTTTCATCGTACAGCACTAAGTTTCCGTTACTCTAGAAAAAGTCGCTTTCAATCAAGAATAATACAGTGTGACATGTCAAACTATTGTGCGTCATCTTTATATCTAAGTAATTGAAGATTGCAACTAGTAGTTTTATGCGAACTCAATCTTTTTATTGTTCTCGTACTCTTAGTCCCCGTGGCTCAAAACTTTAATTATGTGACCTTAGTATTAAACAAGGAGAAACATGTTTGATCAGTTTTAGTCTATCTCTTAAGTCTATCTGTTTCTACTATCGTCCAACACGTATAATCTAAGGAAAGTAATAATTTGTCTGAACCTCAATATAAAGTCCCCCGGTTATTCTGCTTCCATCTGTTCCTGATGACCATAGTATTTTTTGATTGCCTACACATAAAAGGATAAGGTTTCCATTCTCCTGCATTTCAAAGTCAGTTCTTCCATTTTTCGATGTGACTTTGTAACCTATCGGTAGTACTATTGTCTTCCCCCTTGCTCGCACAATTCTGCCAGATGCAGTATCTGAAAGAAATTAATTTGTGCCATTCAAAGGAACAATTTCAATGGCGAGAACAGCAATTCCCTCCGGAAAGTTTAGAAATATCAAATAGTAACCATATCGTACTTCACACAAACCTGCCGATAGCACGGTTGTTAAAATAAAAGACAGCTGACCAATCAGGAATATGGCTGCTACACGCATAAAGTTCGAGTTGCTGATTGGATTTAGATTATTGTTGAGTAAAAGTAGGTCCGTAATAGTAGGTCCACACTTATTTTATTCTGGAAAGTAAAATGCGTTATTTATAAAACCGGCAGCGTATTTTATGTAAAATACGAGTAAACATTTTCACGCTTGATAAATGTAATCTACTATACCATAATTATAAAGTGCAAATGATAATAAACAGATATTTATCCGGTTTATAGTACAGAGTAATAGTGTAACCAGGCCTTTGGCCGGGATTGCAGTTAAAACGGTGCAAAAGTATGAACCCGTTCAGTCAATACCCGCATCAGCATGAAACAAAATTATCAATCGATCAAGATACGTCTGTAAAACAAAATTAAGAAACATCACCAGCGAGGATTACAGAAACACAGTCAAACTTAGTTTTCGTTATAACAAAACATCGCTCAACAGTCAACCGACAGTAAGTAGCAAGCACGATAGGTATCAGGATTCAAGGTGGGCACACCCTGTAATTGAATTACAGGCAAAGACTAAAGCTGTAAGGGGGAGGGAGAGAGGGGGAGAAATGTGAATCTTAAATATCAGATCGGGTACAAAACCATCAATTTAACCATTTACAGCTGGCCGATTAATAACTTAATTTATTTTGCTTCCTCAGAGTTTTGTCGGCACTATACCGAAATAAATGTCCGTATTGATCCACATTGCCAAAAATTGTTGTCGTGAAAGATTAATATGCATGATCTTAATCAAAAGAACTGTTCAAAAGTTTTTCAAAGTGTTTGAACATGAATAATAAGAGTCTATATTTATAAATGAACAAATTTTACAAAACAAATTTGTGCGATTGAAATTACTTCCAGTCGCAGTAAAAATTAGGTATGCAGCGGAAATCAGGAAATTGTGTAACAAAGCTAAGTCCACTTTCAAACGTCGAAATGTATTATCAATGCTATCAGTGATAAGAAATATTATCATAATATGTTTGAAACCGTATATCGTGTTACGGCTTTTTAATTCGGCTCTCATAGACTCATACTGAACTTTGAGGGGTGTAATGTTAAGGAATAACTGAAAGGGATATTAACTGAATAACGGTAACACGACTCCTGTCCGACTGCGACTCCTGTCCGACTCATGTTACCAGAAAAAACGGCATTGTGATCTGATCTCAGTACGACACATTTCCAATTAGAGGTGGATCACATTTTTAATTTCAGTCGTATTTATATTTCACAAGCTCACGGGTAATCATGTGACGTTGCTCCCACTGGGCGGTAGAGGGGGAGGTGCCAGCTGTCAGGAAGAGATCGTGGACAATTAAGAGCTGGTGGAAGAGATTAGGTACAGATTTGAAGGTACCGTCGATTACCCGATGCTCCTCGTCCACCATATGATTTGCGTTCGTAGGAGTCCCCTAAAGGAATGATCGTCGAGTCCGTTCAGACCATCCAAAGCATCATTGATCGCGTCGGTTGATCTATTTTGGTTCGTGCGACGGTAAAGGCTATAGCACTGCTTAGTGCAAGTGCATTGAAATATAGTGCATATAAAGTGTAATGGAGGAGAAAAAATTAAGATTTACAGATCTCTTGTAACTCCCTTATCTGGTCCTGGAGTGTCTCAACAAGAGCGTCAGTATCGTTCTTTTCTTTTAAAAGACTTTTAATTTTCACGTTCTTATTTACAACATATAAGACTATCAAAACCCCAGTTATACAAATGAGAGCGGCCAAGGTACTATCACTAAAATGTCCTTTTTTGTTGTCAATCGCACAAGTGCCATCACTTGCTGGTATTAATCTGCAGGATAGATAGATAACTTGACCATGAGCACAATCGTGAGATGTGGTGTAAGAGCACGATGACCAGTTTCCCGCACTGCATTTCACATCATCCAAAGCAATATGGTATTCCGTTTTGGATATCCCCAAACTAGGATCACCAACTCGCCAGCTTTCTGCCCAGAAATATCCCATATCCCTGCAAATAGCATCAGCGGAATTATCACTGAAAAGATCTCCACAAACTGTGCCACCATTATAAAGAAGTAGGAACTGTTGAATACCAGACACTTGTGATCCAAAATTTGCAAAATTTACTAGAGTGAAAGGGCTTCGATTTCCCGAACAAGTCAAAAATACGTCTTGAGTGTGATCGGGGGGGGGGGGGGGGGGGGGGGGGGGGGGGGGGGGGGGGGGGGGGGGGGGGGTAATGACTACTTTTGGGGACTTGGGGAATTACGTCAACGATTTTACCCCGAGTCCCCATGATTTTTAGTCCCCATTAGTCCCCAAAAGTCTCCATTAGTCCCCATTTAGATTTATCCTACTCTTATCTTGGACAAAACATCTCGATCGTATCGTTATTAAACTAACTTGAAAACCATAAATAACTGTCAAAAATTATGGGGACTTATGGGGACAAATGGTGAATTACGTCAACGAGTTGACCTCTAGTCCCCATGATTTTTAGTCCCCATTAGTCCCCAAAAGTCTCCATTGGTAGTCATTACCCCCCCCCCCCCCCCCCCCCCCCCCCCCCCCCCCCCCCCCCCCCCCCCCCCCCCCCCCCCCCCCCCCCCCCCCCCCCCCCCCCCCCCCCCCCCCCCCCCCCCCCCCCCCCCCGTGTGATCATTACACGATTTACTGTACATTTTTAATGAACAAGATGACCAGTCTTGTGCTGAACAAGCCAAACTGTGTGAAAACACGTTATAATCTTCTTGAATCTTCCATACTTGGCCAGATGTCCAAGTTACAGCTCCCTTGAAACCCATATGCTTACAGACGGCATATGCTGCAGTGAGATTGAAGTTATCCTGGCATAAAGTTAACCCGTTATACAGCAGAAGACCACTCTGTTGATTGCTGATCTGGTTTCCCGAGGCATCCACCATTTGAAACAGATCTGAAATGGGCAAAAGTAGAGAAAAAGGAATCAATAACTTATATAAATAACTATTCTATTACTCGCAAATGTTGAGGGCTCAGAATACCAATTGATTCCTGTAGAATATCGAAATTTGGACATTTTCGATGTAAATATTGTGTGCTCTCATTTTATTTGATAGTATCGACCCTCGCCTGTGTCCTCCATTCAAATGATATTTACAGTTTTCGTCGTATAAGTTAATGTCTGAAACTAAATTACACACTTTTTCCGAGTTCAACATCTGGGCAATATTTGTCTTTAGTCCTTGTTGACCAAATATAGGGCCGCTTCACATTGTAAGAATGGTACAGTACGACATTGTTGTCGTCTTCGACTACCAGTTCTACTTCCTTATAGCTATAATATCGCGTGTTGCTGCTCCAAATTTGTCTATGCCTTTCATCGTATAGTACCATGTCACCGTTACTCTGAAAACAGTTGTGTCATAGCCAACTTTACAATTTACTTCAAATTTGGGTACATCATTTTTGTTTTTTTTAATTGTTTTTGCATTTATTTTTAAAATAAACCTGTATATAAAGTCCGTTGAGAATCTTTTGTCCCTCTGTATCAGTCGACCACAACTTTTGTTTGTTTCCTGCACAATAAAGGATGAGATTTCCATCTTTCTGCAGCTCAAAATTAACCCTCCCATTCTTTGAAGTAAGTTTGCTTCCGACTGGAAACACAAGTGTCACCCCTTCTTTTCCGACGATTCTGTCTTGTGCAATATGTCCTGAAATGTTACGCTTTGTGAGTACGTAATCAGTTTCTGCGGTCTATGGCATGGGCAGTAGAAGTTGATAAGCGACGAAATGTCAAAATATCACATTTCAACACTTCATATAAATTCGTAACTAAACATTATGGTATTCTAGAATTAATCGATTTGTACTAATTGATTTGTATACGTCTTGTCGCCCACGAAAATATTTATATTTTGATCAAAACAATTGTATCCTTCTGTACCTGTATCGTACCAGTGTATTGAATCACTCAGCACTAAGCTACCATTCAGCGATATAAACACGATCAAGAGTAACATGATATCAAGTACGAATAACTACGAAAAGTTATTAATTAAATTAAATTAAATTAAAGTTATTGTGTTGATTTCGAATTTCAAAATTTAGTTATTTAACTGAAAATGCGATTATGAGAAGAATGTTAAATACATATTAAATATGTTTGACTGACGAAGAAAATCCTCTTTACTTAGTATTCGTTGATAAATTTTTCGTAACATAACAATGACTAATTACAATGACTAAATGAGTATAGCTCAAACATATCTAATGTGTACCGAGTACACAATACACATGATACGATATTATTGTACACATTCTGTCATTCTTGTGGATAATTGTGGGTGTGGGTGTGGGTGTGGGTGTGAGTGTGGGTGTGGGTGTGGGTGTGGGTGTGGGTGTGAGTGTGGGTGTGGGTGTGGGTGTGGGTGTGGGTGTGGGTGTGGGTGTGGGTGTGGGTGTGGGTGTGGGTGTGGGTGTGGGTGTGGGTGTGGGTGTGGGTGTGGGTGTGGGTGTGGGTGTGGGTGTGGGTGTGGGTGTGGGTGTGGGTGTGGGTTGTGGGTGTGCATACGGGAAATTTCCGAGTGGGTATATTAAAAAAACGGTAAGAGGTTACGGGACTGGTTTTTTCGGTATAGTGCCGACAAAACTCTGACGAAGCCAATAAGCAATTTTTTAAAAATCGGCCGGTGGTTAGTGGTTTAATTGATGGTTTTGTAACACAAATGTGACATAAAATGGCTCACTGAAACGAGACAAAACATGCATAATATGTATTAATGGAGAGCATAAATACTACTAGTACTAAAATCAGCAAGTATGAACATTGAACAACCTAGTACTTTAACTTACAACTAAGGCTCTAAGGGCACAGAACTGATTTAATTATAATTACATCTACAGCGTTACACTACAAACTCGATCAGAGCATATTATTACATACAGAGTGTTCCTGAATTTAACTCAGTGTGAAAGTATGCTGGTTAAATGTGGCTGACAGTGACTTGTTCTCTATAATCGTCTCGGTAATCCTACTACCCTCGTGGTCTGGTCACAAATCTTCTCGTTCACCGTGCAACAGCATCCGATGAGATCGGAAGTGATCCTCCTTGTTTGTACTCTGGTTCCACAACTTGATGACTACCCTTTCTTTTTGGAGCTCCAAATAAGCTTGTGCTGAGTTTTAGCAGCTCCTTCAAGGGGGTGGTTGGTAAAAAGTGTGTATAATCTGACATAAACTACGACTTCAAGGTTTGTGGCCAGCTTCACAATATCTGCGTCAGCCACCTAGCTCAATGAATTATTTACTAGGGTAAAAATAACGAGGAGCGCAGTTCGATTTCAAACTAACCTGCTGAGTCAATTGGCGCAAAAGAACAAAAAACAACCACTGCGTCAATACAAGTCCAAATATGTTTCGAAACCAATGTTCAAACGTTCTCTACAATGCACAGGATCAGTATGACAATAGAGTTCGATTAAGCCTCATATAGTAAAGGACAACTAGAAATTGTAGTGTTATTTTTCCTGTGTCTTATTTTAATTATTAATGATTTAGATTTGAAGAAAGGAAACAGTCTTGTCGAATAATTAATATAAATTGACATTAAATTATAATGAATTATTTTCGAAAAGCGATTAAATTTCAAGACAGTTTGGAAAATTCCTTAAAACACACTTTATTTTGCCCAGTTAAAATTGAAATCAATTTAACCCATGGCCATGATAGTTTGAAATAAAAATTAACAGATTACCAATGAAAACATTAATGCTCCGTTTTTTTAATCTGGCCCATAAACGTTCTGATATTCGTCCCCGGAAGAGTCAACCATATTCGTTTTTGAAGACGTTTTCCTAACATTTCGCAGTTCCTCCAATTGATCTTGAAGGTTCTTGACAAGAGCCTCAGTCTTAGCGTTATTTTCTGCGTTTTTCTTATTTATAGCGTAAATTTTAGAGCCTTTCCTCCAATTTATCACAGCCAAACCTATGCAAATTAAAGTCAGATAAGGTGTAATACAATTTTGACCATCATCTGCCGCAACTGCCACTGGACTGTAATTAGGTTTTAACATGCAGGAAAGATAGATAACTTGACCATGTTTGCAATCATGTGATGTCGAGTAGGAACAGGATTTCCAGTTTTGCCTAGAACAGTTAACATCATCCAATGCGATACGATACTCCACCTTGGCGCTCCCCGTAGACCAGCTCGAATTTCCTCTCCGCCACGTTTTTGCTCCATAATAACCCATATCCTTGCAAATAGCTTGAGCAGAATTATGACTGAACTGGTCACCACAGACTGTGCCTCCATTATAAAGAACTAGGAACTGTTGATCACCTGACACTTGTGATCCTGAGTAGTTCACCAGAGTGAACGGGCTCCGAGTTCCCGAACAAGTGAGAAACACATCTTTAGTATGGTCATTGCAAGAGTTCCTACTTTTGGATAAGCATGAGGACCAATCTCCTACTGAGCATGCTAAACCGTGTGAAGATATCTTATAATTATCTTGAATCTTCCAAATGTAGCCAATCTTCCCCGATAAAGCACCTTTGAAGCCCATAAGCCTACATACGGCGTCCGCATCGGTCATGTTAAAGCTACTATCGCACAAGGTACCACCGTTGTACAGTAAGAGACCTTGTTGTTCTTCAGTTATATAGTTTCCTGAAGAGTCAACCAACTGAAAGAGGTTACCGGTCGTGGTATCTGAAATAGATGCTTTAAGATGTTATGAAAATAATATTTTCATTATTGTAATTTGTATACCATATCAACGTATAAATGAAATGTTGGAAATAAATAAACAAACTATGTAAATAGCAATGTCACTTGTTGTTGCTATAACAATTCCCGATCATTCCATTTCCACTTTCTAACCTTGTATCTTGTCAAAACATGCCCGCTCCGCTGACCGGTATCTGTCTTGGCGATTTAAGCTTTTTGTTGCGACAACACGACAATTTGCAATATAGCATATTTGAATTTCTCCAATGATGCACCTTTCGCTATTAAAACGTTCCATTGAAACTGCCCCGCAACTAAAAATGTAATCGCAGTTTCAGACATAAGAGTAGCAAGGACTGTTACGTTATTATAAACGCAACTTCGTCTTTCCAATAAAATTAAAAACGAAATGATTGAATATGATTGTATCATATTACAGCTGGTATATTTCAAGATTTGTGCTTATTATTGTCAACTCACTTTGGATACTGCATGCAAAGATCAATACATTGTTGTTCACTGCTGACAGGTTTGTTTGTTATCTCGTCACCATGAATTCTAGTATCACCAGCAAAACAACTCGTTTTCCCTGATTTGAACTTAAACTAAGTTTTGAATAAATGTCTTCGTACGTAATACGTGGTCGTTCACATATATTATTATTATGCAATCACTTTTTGGGCAATTTTTATCCCTTCTCCCTCCCCCCTCCGTAATCAGTTGTACACATAGCTATTGTGTTAACATAACACTAGCTATAACATTTAGAAACCCCCCTGTAATATGTGAATTGTGAATGGCCCCAAATTCGAATTAATCCTACGTTCATTATGAAGCGGTGCCTGAAACCATGATGATACGAAATGGATCTCGATTTCGTCCTTAGAAAATATTGTATTGTTTACAGTATATGTTTGATTTGACACTATTATCATCAAACCAAATGTTCACACACTGAGTTTAAATTAGTCGAACTTTAGTGGTACGAGGAACAATATCTGAAATAACATATCGGATCCTGGGATTGGACAGGCAGTTTTTCATACTGTTCGGACGTTAGGTAGCTTTCAATTATTTTCAGCAAAATTATATCAAATTTATAACATTGCCCAAGAATTGTGCATGAACCAAAAGACGAAAGAGCACTCTCTGCAGTCATCTCACCATTAACTTGAGACAGAGCGACTAAAATGAAGCACAATATCTTAGGCAGCGACAAAGAATTATTCATTCTTCCTGCAGACGAAAATGAGTTTTAAGTCTAACAAAAATAAATTTCGACCCTGCACATTTAAATGACAACTGAATTCACGTTACACACTTTAGCCGAGCTGGCACTGATTATAAATTACGAGAAAATATTAAGAATCTGCAGAAAACTTTGAGAGAAGCTTATCAGCTGAAGTGATGTTTGCAAATGTCCTTGTGCGCGTGTCATATTACATTTAAATACATTTACTTACTTATTTTATCTTAATATTAAACTTGTAGTTATGACCAATGACCATGTCTCACATGACACGATGTTAATGCAGAATCTAACACTATAATCATTGATCTGCCTACGTTGTGACCGTATCAGCTATACTCAACAGCACTAGATAATGGCTTGATGGACAGCTTGATCAGCATTTTACTTATTTAACTAACTGAAGAATTTTTCACCCTTTTGGGAAAGTTCTGCCGTAAATTTATTTGGAAGAGGGAATTTTTTAAACAATAAAAACTGTAGAATGAATTTAAATCAGTGGAATAAATTAAAATCGGTCAATATTTAAAATTTTAATTAGTATTTATTCATTAAAAAACTCTGCCGGACTGGACCCATGATCCAGCTAAAACAAAAACTCGATAAAATAGTTTTACCTCACCATGAGCTACCTTCGAGTACTAGCTCATTCAATTAATTTCACACTTCAATCCAATACTTTGATGTTCTGATCGTTGTCATCTGAGCAATCTGTAAGAACTGACTTGAGGTCTATCAAGTCTCTATTTTGCAGTTCCTTCAGCTGATCTTGAAGTTTCTTGACAAGGGCGTCTGTATTAGCACTTTTCTTTGATAAACGGTCAATTTGAGAGTTTTTCCTGAAAACAATGAAAACCAGACCAATGCAAATTATAGTCACAAAAGCTGTCGAGGTATTTTCTGTTGAGGTATTCTCGCATGTCTCTAGCGAAGATGTGTTGTTGTTATGAACAGGGATAAACATACAGGAGAGATATATAACTTTACCATGTTCGCAATCATGAGACGTTGTGTAAGAACATGCTTTCCAGTCCCCTTCAGTACAATTAACATCATCCAAAGCGATGTGGTAATCAACCTTAGGGTTACCCGAAGACCAGTTCGTCTCTTCCATTCGCCACCTTTTTGCCCCATAGTAGCCCATATCCCTGCAAATAGCATCAGCAGAATTATCACTGAACTGATCACCACAAACTGTGCCTCCATTATAAAGAAGTAGGAACTGTTGAAGACCAGAAACTTGTGATCCAGCAGAGTTTACAAGAGTGAACGGGCTACGATTTCCCGAACAAGTCAAAAATACGTCTTTAGCGTGATCAGTACAAGCTTTTCCATCATTTCTGAACGTGCACGATGACCAATCTCTCAAAGAACAGACCAAACTGTGCGAAAATACTTTATACCTTTCCTGAGTTCTCCAAATTTTTCCAGACTTCCACGATAGTGCGTTTTTGAACCCCATGAGCTTGCATACAGCATGCGCTGCAGTGATATTGAAACTACTATCACACAAGGTACCACCGTTGTACAGTAAGAGACCATTTTGTTGTCCAGTGATAAAGTTTCCCGAGGAGTCAACCAACTGAAACAGATTGGCTGAATCTGAAATATACGATTAAATAATCTTGCATCAATTAAAAGTATATTTATAATTGAAGTTTTCAGTGTTGGATTGCATTTTATCACGAAAAGAAACCGCATCGCATCCAAAATACCAATATTGAACTATATTATAGTCAAATACTGTAGTTAATTAGCGACAAGAGAAACGCCATTTTCGGACGTGAGGAGAGTGAGGACTCTTCAAACTACATGTACATTAAATAAATTCCCTCTGTAACGCCCTCAATAAATGTAATAGATTTGTAGTGTTGTAATTATTTTATGAGAATCTCCATGATATGAATTTTAATAAAGAAATTCAAACCTTGTGACGGTGCTTGGTCAAAGCACTTCCGCTCCGCTGTTCTAGCATATCCGTTATTACCCCTAATTATACTATAACCTGATGCATAAACATTGCACACTGCATGTTGACTATTCATTGTAACTGCCCCGCAACTGAAAGTGTTTTATCAGTGTAAGAGATATCACTGCGAAGCGACTTTGATTTGAAAATTTAATATTTACATATATTAAAGTCACTATTGTGACGGTACATTAGAAGTTAGAACTAGACAGAAACAAAGTGTGAAGGGCCTGAATGGAACCCCTCGGTTTCAGTTCCTTGTTTAACACTGCCGAACAGCAAGGACATCCACCGGGTTCTCCAAGGATGGGCACATATGCATAGCTCACTCCACACTATGCTCTGTCAAATATAGATTTTTACTGTATAGCGCAAGATCTGTTTTTTAATTCATCAACTCACTTCGGATACTGTTTGCAAAGATCAATACATCCCTGCTCGCTGTTCACACTCTGTTGTGCGATCAAATCTCCCCGGATATTAAGATTGGCAACAAAACAACCCTTATTCCCTGAATTTAAATGCAATATGTTTTTATTGTGCATTTTGTAAAACCTCTCTAATAGTTAGAACTTATGGGGATTTAAATAATAATGATTAATAACATTTGGTGCAGCAATAGCAGCAAATCTGGGGAAACTTTGAAATACACCAATTTGAAGCATTTAACCCCCCCTTAAAAATCAAAGATTATGAATTTTAGTAATCTGATTATTTACATAGGTCCAAAAATGTCATAACTTCATGATAGTGCAACGAAAAAAATCTCAGAACATTTTGGTGCTGAGTTAGGTGGTTAAGTAGTAGAAAAATGACTGATTTGTTAGTGGACATTTTTTATACCTCTAACACCCAAACCCTTACTACAGTGAAGATATAAGTACTACAGTTAATATTGATGGTCATTATTGAACAAAAATGGTTCATTGACACATAGTTGAAGAAGGAAATTAAAAAAATTAATAAATGTGGTCTGTGGAGTGGTTTATTTGTTTATGTTATAGTGTACGCGTGCGCGCGCGCTAGCGCGTACTTAACCATCTGTAGGCCAACATATTTAGTCTAGGCTTAAATTCTTTATATATTATGTCACCACTATGGTGCCCAATACTTTTAGTGAAGGTTTGATGTAGAACAGTTAACCACCAACTGTGGTATATCAAAAAAACCATGTTTGTACGCGTGCGCGCGCGCTAGCGCGTACTTAACCACCTGGTGTGGCACAGCATTGAAATATCACCATAATTTCAAAAGCAGAGGTCACCATTCAGGTGCCCAAAACTTTTGACTATGGTCCCAATACCATAAAACCTTAGATGTGGCCTCAATGTGGTTAAAACATGTTTATTTTGGACTTTCGGTCAACAGAAGCCATCACAAATTAACCATTATTCAGCAACCTCCGAACTTTTTGTGCCTTATTTTGTTTTGATATTTGATTATGAGAGATAGCTGGAGGATAATAAGTGATTTTAAAGATAATGCAACAAAATGTGTGGCCGTATGGTGGTTAAAACGACCAAAAACACTGATTTTGGTCAATTTTAGACCTTTATTAACCATGATGGACGCAACATAGGACTCAGCAATGTTTCTGGTCATATAAATGAGCAGGTAGTTATATCTAGATAATGTAGCATGGCCAGCTATAGCTTTACAAAGCTAATATGTGCTCTAAAAATGGTTAATTAGTGCAAATATAGGGTATTTTCGAGACATTTTAACCACCTTAGCTGCACATTGATCGGAATGCATGAACTTGGGGTCAATTATGCATTTGCAAACAAATATACACTCATTTGGATAGCAAACCATTATCTGAAGTTCATATTGTGGTTAATTTTCACTTTAATAGATACCTTGTTCAACAGCCTAGCAAGTAATATAGCCCTTTTAACCACTTTTATGACAACATTTCTTGATAAATTTTATCAAGACCCTTCAAATGTCCTTTGTTGACCATAAAATGTTGACTAAAATCATTAATAATGTTTTGATTGGTGGTTAACAATAAATTTTGACATTTTAACCATCTTTTTAGCACTTTTTACGAATATTAACCACCTTAAATCAACCATACTATTAAATTGCACATTTGTGATAAAAAATTATCATCCATGCACAAATGAACAACCAACACTATACATCTATAATCAGAGCAATATTTATAGCTCACCGTTCATCTTCAATTTAACCACCATTAGGACCACAAAATGCCCCCAATGAGGTTTGAAAACTTTTGTGATAGTTGCACCATGATATGATCTCAATATAATGACTACTCAGTTCATAATATCATATCTCAAAATGGTGGTTAACCCTAAAACTGGTATTTTAACCACCATAGTGGCCACATAGATGACCCATTAACCACAATTATTCAACATGACCGTACTGCAGTGTTTTGTGCACCAGAAAAACATCACTCCAACATTGAGATTAACCACAATGAGCTGCAACATAATGTTGAAGTCAACATACTCAAATTGTGTGAAAAAAGTCAATGTCCACCAAGTTTCCCCAGATTTGCTGCTATTGCTGGGTTTTATTTTTGAACATGTCACACAGATTGAGTGTTTGAGACACTGCACTGGACATTCTAACTTACCAGCCGCGGCTACTTCTGTAGCTGAGAATTGTTGACTCAATGCAATGTGGCCTGTGGCTAAAATGTGACCTGTGGCTAAAATTACGAATATTTTCCTTAACACAATCTCCTTCATTCTTCCTTCTAATAAAAAGAGTCGGGTATAAATTTGAAAGATGAAACTGGACAATGGACATGGACATGGTATCAACATAACATCACCATCATTTACTATTTTGTATGGAATATTATAAAACTTTGCAAAGTTCAAGTCAATTCGCGTAACAAGACAAAAATTGGAACGTTAAAGTGCTATAAATACTCATCTAAGCATTGGATTTATTTAATTATGAAACCGATATAATTTATCTTCTGTGTTAATGCGATGTTTCTGAAATGTGAGCCTGCGATTTTCGCTATAAAGGAAGTAGAATTCCAAGCTGGAGGGACGCCAAATGTACGAGTTAAAACAGATATCAAACCTACAATTATTCTGGAACGAGCAAATGCAGTATACAGTATAAACGGATAGTATAAAGAAGGAATTTGTTAAGAGTTATAGTTGCACTTTATCGAGAGAAATCTGTCGTCAAATACAACTATACAATATACATATTTATAGTATATAGTATGGCCTCACATGCTCAGTAAACATGAATTATTTAGAGATGTATAGCAGCGAACAATACGGTCAACACAGAATGTGAATTAGCAGCCAAATATCAATGTTGTGAACCCCTCTAAGAGTGGGCCCGGTAAGATACCTAAAACTAGTCCACCCTCTAATCCTCCTATTCTCCAGGTGGTATTGTGTTTCAACAAGGTGTTCTGGGACCCGAGTATCCATCTCTTTGGTCATGTGTCTAACAGCACCATATCACGTGGCGAGCTGTTCCTCTTCTGGAGCGTCTCTAAAGCTCCGGTTCTAATAGCGCTAATAGCGGGGGAGGCTGCCACTGTCATTGAAACTGTTCCTGGTGAGAATGAGAGATATTTATATATTTTTAAAGATTATTTTTCGATATTCATTATGATCATCAAACTATTAAACCATTTTGTTTAAATTTTTTTGACGCCAGAATTTTAGTTTGTTACAGATAGTATAGTATCAATACAATATGAATAGTTATTGTTCATATTATGAACCTTAACACTACTTTTTACAAAATGAATATACAACAATAACAATCAAACTTTCTCCCCAGACGAAGCGATAGTCGGCAGAGCCATGACGATCCTCCGAGCCATATTCGGTTTCCAGACTGTTCCTCAGCCCAGCAAACACCGAGTGACGCGCTGGAGAGGGGACCCCTGGGCCTTGGGGTCCTACTCTTATGTTGCTGCTGGATCTTCTGGTAGTGATTACGACGATCTGGCAAGACCTGTAGCTCCTCAAAATGGTAAGGGAATGTTTAATGTTTATCTATCTAAGAATATTTGTGACAATTTTCCTTCTGTTACATCATATTGGTTAATTGAGAAAATAATTTGTTTACATACACTCCATTTTATTAATATACTTTGAGAACATAATTAAAGTAATTTTTAATTAACCAGTCGAACTAGAAGATTCAGAGTAGCCACAAATATAGGCTAATAATTAGTGCGTCAGATTTAAAAAAGCAGCGAAACAAATTAATTGATCTAGGTTTCCTCAGACTGAGACTAATTCTGCAAACGTAACACAGTTTTATTTGAAATCATAGTTACGAAAAATAAGATTAACCTAAATGATGAATAACCTCAAATATACACGGGAGCTCATTGATATCTGGAAACGGTAAGGAAAATATCATGCAGTATATTGTACAGCAAAATTAAAGTGACCATTCGCGTCGCTCAGCCCAGTATCTTGCACCTCCTGATTGAAGACCCCTCACCTCATGGCCATATGAAATGTAAGGAACATAAAATGATAAAAGTAGATGATGTCATCAGCATGTTGATGTAGCGTATGTGTATATTAAACATTGGATTGTGTAGGTATGACCAAGTATGTTTGAGCACGTTCTGAAATCTCTATCCTCGTCCTAAAATACTCACCTCCCAACACAATGTTCTCTATCCTCATCTGATCCTCCCAATGAAAGTTCTCCCTCCCCCCGTACTCTCTGAGTTCCATCTTGGTAACAAGACTGGAATTTAGAGTTGGTAGCCCAGTAACCATCTCTGTTGTTTCTCCGTCTTGCTCTATCTTCAGTATCAAGGTATCTTTAAAATTGATGGTCAGTAGCATTTCACCTTCACTGTAGTTAGCCATGTTGAAATGGGGCTCTATGAACTGAAAGATTTGTATTCGATATTGATGATGATATTTCAAGGTTTGGCGGGTGCTAACATTAATATGATTCACCTGCATTCTGCGTCGGGTTTATTGAAATGTTGATCATTGATATTATTATTATTTGCTCTTCCAAGGCCTACTTACTTGCCACTGGTCACTGTATTTTGTGCTGAACACAATCACCCTGTTAGCCAGACCCACGTTTGCCATTTTATCTGCAGCGAACCTGTAACAATGACAGTTTTAAAAAGAAGTCTGAAAATAGTATTTTAAGGTAAACACGCACTGTTGTCTGACCAATGGATGAGGAGTTATTTAAACATTGAGCATTGAAAATGATTTTTGATTCGGAGTCGCCACCACGCGTAGCCGTGATTGGACAATTTACCCCCAATTTACCGAACTTGCTCAAATGGAAAGTCGTACCGGAAGATAGTGATTTTCACTGTGATATTTTAATTTAACTAATATTTTTATTTCGAAAGCGCCGCAAAGTTCTAGAATCCTACCTTAGAGCAATTCTGAAGACTGTGTCGCCAGCATCATTGAAGAAATCCACTCTAGCTACTCCGTGATACTCTCCTGTGAAGTGTCCTTGTATTTTCATCTTGCTTCCCATCGTTAAACGCCCCTTGTACACGTCGTAGGAATGTAGATCTTTTGCGAATATGACGGTTATTCCTGTAATAATTCACCATCATCATGATTCTTGTTATCAGAGGTTTGGTTTAGACTTTAGATGTCAGATTAATCTTAAGTGTCAAAAATTCGGGGCTAGGACGTCAACCCAATATTTATACGGCAAAAACAAAACAGATCGTTCACTAAAAATTGATAAATTTTAGACCTCAAGTAAATCTAGATTAACTTACCGAGTTGGGCTATAACCAAGATAGCGGTTATAAGGCTGGAAGGAGCTTGATCAAACAACATGGTTGTACAGCGATAAACGCTACTTCAAAGCAGTTTTTAAATGTGCGAGTTTTGTTCATACCAAGTGAAATGTTCGGCAAAAATAAGAGAAAAGAACTATGATACAACTATGAACTAAGCTAATATAATACAGCGAATCCGCGAATCGTTAAGATAAGTAAGGAAAATGCCTTCATTTTATATATGGGTAACTTCGTTAAATGCACTGCTAAAATGTGGGGTAATTGATTTACTTTTTTGGCTTCTCCGTAATTAAGTGAAAATTGGCGTGAAACTGTTAGGTTGTGTCATGGCCATGTTTTCACCATTGAACACGAGAACGTCGAAAATAACTAGGGCTGAAACTCACAGAATTGGTTCTAGGAATGGCTGAAAATGTTTCGCCGCTTTTCATGAACATTTTCGATTTGTTTGAACAATTTTAAAACTCGGTTAAAGGCAGGAAAGATTTCTCTTTCTAAGAAGCAAGAATCCTGCTAAATTGGATTTGCATTTCCTACTCTTCATTTCATAAATAAAATGTAAGTTCTTCATAGTTTTGGGGAGCAACCCAGAACAGTGGAAAGCCCTCAAAGAATGGTCCAGGTGCTAGAGTTAATTTGCCTAGTCCGCGCTAGCGAGTTACCGTTTAACAAGAAACCATTAAACAAGAATTATTACCCTCCGCGCGGTGCATTCATGCGGGATGTCTTAATTGCTGTAATGATAATTTATACTATATATTTTCTTGCACTTTGTGTAATATTACGAAAACATAATTCGCAATTTTTGTTGCAAACAAATAGTGCCTCTTCCTCAATAAAATGGCGGAACTCTGCAAAATGCCGTCCCAGACGAAAAATACTGACTCTCAACTTCAAGCATGTTTAACGAATTAAAGGCGTTTCTTATTTTACCACACCCTTACGGCATATTTCTGTAATAATAAATAGAATCGGACAAAGGAAATTGGGATCTTAAATCTATAAACTTGAATAACTCGACAGAACATGACGTTATATGTCGCGAATATAATGAACAGCTGTCTGTTTAATCGACTCTGCTGGCAGTCTGACTTAATGTCGCCTAATATATTATACAGGTGCATAAAATAGCATCATGCTACATTTGTGTGAGTATGTTAGTGGTAAGAAAATAGAAATAAGTCTAAAGGGAAGCCGTATTAAAGGCAAAACATTTGTTATATTGGAATCCTAGATAGTATCCCCGGAGGCTATAGCGACAGTTGTAAGGAATATTTGTACTGCTCAGGAACAACTGCTCTGATAAATGCACTTGCCGACGATATTAAGATGTTATAATTATATGACGAACGCAAACAGCCCTCCCTTAACAATCAGAGACAGTAATATCTTGAACTATATTTGTCCTATACTCATATTTGTTACTTTAAGACCGCGTCACGGTACTGAGTCTAAGAGGATTTTGGTTAGAAGGGCCGCAAATTTATTTTTATCTGAAACTTTTACTAGGTAAGATCCATTCTCTACCTCAAAAATCTCTGAAAATTCCCAAATAACCCCAAATATTTCAGCGTCAGGAGCACATCCCCGATTATTCTTCGCGGGAGAGCACACGATCAGAAACTACCCGGCCACAGTGCACGGTGCTCTGTTATCCGGGCTGCGAGAAGCTGGCAGGATATCCGACCAGTTCCTCGGTCCACCATACTCTAAAGACACCACCGTCAACGTCACTACTCCAGCTCAATGAGAGGAAGTTGTAGTTCAGTCTGATTCTACTACGCGCTATCACGTGACTATAACATCAATGTCAGCTTGCTGTTCATGATCCACAATGCTTTAACTCTTTGTAGACGCGTCTGTTTCAGAAGGAGACCTGTGCTTGCCGTCGTTAAAATGTGTTATTTAAGTACGATTGCTAAGATTATACTGTATATGTTATCGAGCAGTGAGTTTATTTGATATCCAGAACTGGTTTATAGATCAGCAGGTTATCTTATGATGATCCCTTCTTCAATTTTAAGCAGACGATCGTCACGTGTCTAACAGCACCATATCACGTGTTGCAGGATAATCATATTTAGATGAAAGACTTTCAATCAAATATCCTTTTTATCTTGTTATTTGTTAACAGTCTTAAATCTTTTACAATGCAGGTATTTGTGTTATGTTATTTTATTGAGTTCCGTTATGTTGTGTGGTGATTACCAGTTACCACATGACACTAGATTTTGTGGTTCTCACTGGGCTATATGAGGAGTTTATAGTTGGACATGATAGGATTCTGAAACCAGTTCACGATATACCCATAAATTTTAATCGTCCAGCGACCCGCAATGTTTAATGCTATCAGATATGGTGTTTTCTTTTCGAATCATATTATCATGTATGATGTATATCATGTATACATATTAACTATGTATCGAGGAAATAACCATATTTGAATCACATACACTGCTAAGTTTTTCAAGTCTGGACATGTTTTTAAATTATATTGTTTATGTATTGACTGTTACTTTAAAATTAAATTGTCAACATCAAATAACGGAGTAGTTCGCTGTTTATTAGTCTCATGATTGAAATACTGATATCTGGATATTATCCGGTTGGAAGAGACAAGGACAAGTGAAACAAGGAAGTTAGGAGTAAGGGCAAATTTTCGGCGTCAACGCCATCTTCAGGCTAAAATTGTTATAAATGTTAGTATATAATAAATGCTTCTATACTAGTTAAAATGCTA